GCCGAGCAAATCCTCTGAGGAGTTTCCTTCACCAGAGATAGATCCCTATACTGTTAGACAACTTTTGAAGAAAGTTAGTCCCGCACTATCAATTACATCTGATGACATCCCAGCAATTTTCTACAAGATGTTTGCCGATGAATTGGCACTTCCATTAACCCATATTTTCAATATAAGCTTGATGAATGCAGAAGTGCCCCGTCTGTGGAAATCCGCCATCGTCACTCCTCTACCCAAGATCTCTGTCAATCCTAAGCTCTCCGACTTTAGACCAATAAGTATCCTTCCGACACCTTGTAAGATACTTGAAAAAATTGTTGTGAAAAACTTATTGAAATGGCTAGACAAGATACAATGTCTCCCTCAGCAACAGCATGGGTTTTTGCAGGGTAGATCTACTGTCACTCAGCTTCTGGATTGCCAATTTGACTGGACAGAAGCGTTGAGTCGAAACCAGTCTGTTAGCGTCGTGTAATTCGATCTAAGTAAAGCATTCGATACAGTAGATCATACTCTCTTATTATCCAGACTAGAGAGCTTAGGAATTAGAGGTCTGCAGTTACGATGGTTCGAATCTTATCTGCAAGATAGAACATTTTCAGTCAGAGTGCATGATAAGATTTCGAAGGCACGATCCTGCAGGTCTGGAGTTCCACAAGGCAGCATCTTATCCCCAATTCTGTTCAATATATACACACTTGACCTTCCAACTGCTCTTATTACAGACCCTCGCATTGGAGTAGCTGCGTATGCTGATGATGTAAAGATCTATATCGCTTATGACCAGCATGATAAGGAGAACGCCATCATGGCACTGCGCAATTCTATCTCTCAGATGTTTGTTTGGGCAGACAAGTGGAAAATTAAAGTAAATCTTTCTAAGAGCTGCATTGTTCCTATTGGCAAAACTCCTATTTATCCGAAAGAAATAAATGATTTTCTTGAATGCAAGTCTACGGTCAAGGATCTGGGCGTTTATGTCGAATCTGGTTTGAATTATTCAAAACATATAGACGAGATTACTGCACGTGCCACTCGAATAATGTATACGTTGCTTCGCACTATTCAATCATCTGACCCTAATTTTCTGCTCAGAATATATAAAACCTTTGTTCTTCCAGTAGTAGAATATTGCAGCCACGTCTGGAACCCAACTTTGAAAAAAGATCTCGAAAAAATTGAGAAAATTCAAAAAGCTTTTACAAAAATTGTGTTTTATCGCGCTTTTCCAAACCCTGACTACCCTCTTGCCCTACCTGACTATAAAACCAGATTGCGCAAGCTCGGTCTCAAAACTCTTTTCTATAGAAGATTTTTAGCTGATATATTCATGGCCTTTAAGATATTGCGAGCTGAGGTAGGTTTAAAACCCAGCAAATACTGGGTTTTTCGGCCTATCAATGAACGTCGAGCCTCTTTTAATTTGACTATTTCTAGATTTGGACGATACAATGTTTCGCTACAGCGCAACAACTTTTTTTATCGAGCAATCTCTATTTTGAACAAACTACCGGTTTCTTTCTTATCTTTAAATTCAAGTGCTCAACTGAAGAATGCTTTGAAAAAAATGGATATTCTACAACTATTAGGAATGGAGGACGTTGTATGATAATAACTTTGTACCATGTTTTGGAGATGAAATGCAAATAATTCTAGTTGCTATTCCCTGCTTTCAAATTGTATCGCCTTAGCTAGAGCTTTTTATTCCTGAAACTAAACGATCTTGAAATAGCTCCTATCTTACTTGTACAAGAAAAATATACAACCAAGTTATCAATCATGCCCTAATTCAGTCCTGCGTATATACCTAACCACATTGTTGGATACTTCGATCTTACATCTAGTTGGTAGTTTGTTTGCACAAACACGAAGAAAATGGAGTATAATTTAACACATGTATGTATGTATGTATGTATGTATGTATGTATGTATGAGGACAATGGATCGATGGAGTGATGGATCAATGATTTGGCCGATGGATTGCTGCATCACGTACCACACGAAAGTGGTCTTTTACACCAACTACTTCATATGTCTCCGTTGCTCTTGTGCAATATGATCTATTAACTATATCCTCAACCCTGAGATCAAAGTTTCTAATAATGTGTTGAAGCTCTGCAACTGAGAGCAATTCTTACCACCTATCAAAGCAAACATACATTCTATACCATATGAAACAAAGGAAGTTATTATATCTAAGTACTACTTGAGCTAGAAGACAAGATACAAATTTAGAAATATATGTATATGTGTTTACACACAACCGGTTTCGGGCCTTAGAACTATACCGGATGTGTAGCTTTCTTGTCGGCCCTCATCAGTAGTTCACAAGAAAGCTTCAAAAGACGTAAAATTCGCTAATAATTTTTGAATACCTATGATGTCAAAAGTCAAAAAAAAATATTATAAGTAGAAGTAGAAGTTGGGAAAGGAATCAGGCACGCTCAGGCAAATGAGACTTGAGACTGATGTTGTGATGTGTATGAGGTCGAATTTGAATTCATCTTACAGTGTCATCCTGGCGCGTTAGCACTAGTCCACACTGCACGTAGCTCGTGCATCAGAGGAAGATGTACCGCCGTTACAAACCCGTATTTGCGTAAAATGAAAGGTCTATCTATCATAGCCCGACATAGTATGTTCATAAAGTACCCACACTCCCATCCATTATCAAAAGAAGTTCTACCCAACTCAATTATTCTATCTTTGAAGTCCGAGTAACTAGAGCAGTTTCTGTATATTCTAAGCATCTCAGATGATAATGTATTTATTAGTATGTACCTAGGTATGTTGGAGTTCCAATGAGGATATCTAATAACTTTGAAATTATAGCTGTCTGTTTTATTATAAAGACTAAATTTTACTAAATTGTCAAAAGTGTTTATGTGTAAATCTAAGAAATTAGTGATTTTGCAATTATTGTTGGTCTTTTAAAGACTTGAGAAATCCGCAGAATAAATGTTCAAGTTTCCCTTAGCTGTTGCTAAGTCCCTTATTATCTGGGTACTATTTTCCACCGCCCAGAAGTAATTAACTTGTGTTCTCTGTCTTATAACCTTACAATAATTAGCAAAATGTTTTCTTATATGTGCAAGTATGAGCTGCAAAATATTTGTAAGAGGTTTCAGTGTACTTTTTCTTGCTCCTGTTATGTATCTGAATTCGATTGGATTCTTATGCATCTTTGGTATACCATAAATTCTAGGTATTTCGAGGAATCTTTCCTCAGGTTTAATATTCAGACTGTTAAGTATTCTTACATGCTTCATTCGGATATCTTCAATTGTAAAGTTAGTGCTTTCATAGGTGCTACCTTCATTATTAGCTTGTTCCATTTCTTTCTTCATCATTTTTATATAGACTTTTTTGCAGGTAAAACTAAAATTAGAAATAGCCTTATCCACTGGGGTTATTACAAAATGTTTGTGTAATTGCTCTAAGGCTTTTTTATCGTATTGGTCGTCTTCAATTTCTTTCATGTTATACATATTATACAATTTCGGTGTAATCTTGTTCTTAAAGTAACGGTTCATGCTGTGTATTATGTGTTCCTTGTTTGCAGAGTTAGCTCTAAATTTATGTATGTACTTTGTCAAAGAATTCAGTTCCAAAATGCTCCACCTTCTCTTTAATAGAGCCAGAAATAGCAAACGAGTAAAGGAGGAAAACGCGCCTTAATAAATGTCCTGCGCAGCTGACGCGATCAAAGGGGTAGTCGTAAAATTCAAACATTCGTATTAGTCCTACAGCGATCCATTTGCCATTCTAATGTCGCGCCCTTATTCACGATTTTAAAAACTAATATTGTATTCGGAATCCCCATGCTCACTTACCCCCTGTGCCAACTCCCAGCCCCGTAGCTCAAATTTTGCAAAAAATCGATAAAATCGATATCGATCGATGCGAAAAGTAGCCTATGACACCCGCCGGGGCCCGAAGTGTATGTGTGCCAAGTTTGGTCCCGATCGGTTCAGAAATGGAATTTTCTATTCTGAACATACGTACACACAGACAGACATACAGACAGACAGACAGACAGACAGACATACAAACAGACATTCAGCTTTATATATAAGATTTGAAATTTTGCATGCTGACAGATAGTAGGACACAGCACAGCGAAGGTAAGAATAAGGGCGCGACATTAGAACGGCAAATGGATCGCTGTAGGACTAATACGAATGTTTGAATTTTACGACTACCCCTTTGATCGCGTCAGCTGCGCAGGACATTTATTAAGGCGCGTTTTCCTCCTTTACTCGTTTGCTATTTCTGGCTCTATTGAAGAGAAGGTGGAGCATTTTGGAACTAAATTCTTACTATACTAGCTGGCTTACCCGGCTCCGCCCGGCCCTATCAAAACACTGTAATAAAGGTCCCATCCCTATCCCTCTACAACCTTTCCCTGTGCCCACTTCTACTTGCCAATTCCCTATTCCCGCTGTGTTAGGGTAGTTTCAGACTTCCGCACTGACCGCAGCAGACCGCAGCTGACTGCAACTGACTGCAGCCGACCGCACTGACCGCAACGGGTTGTTAAATCTAATATTATATAGACTTTGGATAAAGTTTAATTGGTTAAAAGCAAGAAGTTTGCCCGAAAATTTTAGGTATGAAACATTGGCCGAATATTCGTGAGAAAAATCATCCCCCGTAAGCCATGTGTGTCATTTTTACCTCAATAATACATGAGACGAATAAAAAATGAATTTTGAGAAGAACGCAAAAGTTGTGGACAGCAACAGTATTCGAACTCTCACCGGTCACCTGTAACTCCGAGACACTAACCACTACACCACGCAAATACGTTATGACTTCACAGTCTGACCGAAATTTCTGCGAATCGTTGTCGCTCGACATTCATCAATGTGTTCTGAGTCTAGAAATAGCTATACTACACTTCAGTGCTATGCTCAGTTCTTGCCGGAAAACGACCCTTTTCAGTAGTTTGTGAACAAAACGCTGCACTACTTGTTGTCGAAACATATACATCACAGAGGGGCATTTTTATTGCAATCAACGTGGCTCTCGAACATCACCCATTGCAGATATTTCAACCCCTTTATCATTAAAGAAAGCGGAAAAGAAGGGGCAACGATGCTATTCTTGGACGAGCAACGGCAACACCATCATCTCTGTAGCACGCGCTTGATTAAACACTTCTCTGCACGGAACCTCTCCATCTTCGGCCTGAAAGTGCTTGACTTTTCTCAATCAATGGGTTATAAACAGTGTAATTATACCCGTGTTGTGACGAGAACAATCTTATCTATCTTGGCACCGCCGTTCTGACGCAAAATGTCAATTCTTGCTGATTTGCCCGGTTCTACCGAACCAAATACTGGATTCACACGGTACAACATATTATCCGAACATTTCACCTGCAAATATAAAAACGAGTATCCGGTACCATAGCATTTACCTTTGGGTTTACCTTGAAGAACTTGCGCTCCTGAGTGTCGTTAATAACGCTCACTCCCTTCAAGCCGCCTATGGCTTTGTAGCTTAGCTCAGCGGGTTCCACCCGAAGTTCAGATGGTTTGGCTGAAAGGCTCATTCATCAGCTTTGACGATTCGATGCACAAGATTTCGGAATCAAAACCAGCAACTCACCCGGGAGAGATGCAACACCACCCTGAAAAGTTGTTTATGAGCATTCCGCAACCAACCTTGAAACGTTAAATTGTATTTGCCCTACTCTGTCCTGCGTTTATTAGAAATGAAATGCCCACCGTATCACAACAAGTTCTCATCCCCTAGAAAGTATGAAGACTAGCGGTGGGTTGGTGACGGAAGCAGAAGAAAATAACAAGCACTTCCGAGGCACAAAGTACTACTGCTATGTGTGCTTCTCTCTATGATTCGCTGTAACTTCGCCTACTTCCCGTCCAGTACAAAACTTTGTACGTAAGAAAAGTCGCTCTACTTTATTGATGTCAAGTGTGAACCAGACTATGTGCCTATCTCTTCACTATTCAACGAACAAAAACACTTACCCTACCACTTCTGCTCGACCGCGACCTTCTACTTCTCGACTTTGATCTGGATTTGGATTTGCTGCGTCTTCTTGAAATATATGGTCTTGATGATTAACTTCAGATTTGTTTTACTTACGATCTCGAGCTCTTGCTGCCTCTTCTGCTTCTACTTTTGCTTCGCGATGACTTAAGTGACTTTGAAGTTGGAGTTCGTTATTTTTGAAGTGATTTCAACAAACCTTGCCTCTTCTACTTCTACGTGATCTGCTGCTGCCCCGTTGTGATTTGCGTCGCCTATGAGAACGGCTCGATCTTCCCCTCCTGCTTCTGCTTCGACGACTTCGTCCACTTCTGCGGCTGCGAGAACGGCGTGACTTGCTCGAACGTCTTGATCTTCCCGATCTTGAAGATCTACCAGCTCGCTGCGATTTGCCAGCAGTTTCTCTCTTCTTCTTCAAAGAAAGGTGTAGATGAACACTATTGTGAAGGGACTGTCAATCACCTTCGTACCACATCCGAACAGAGCAACTGCCCCTGCGGGCACAGCGAGTAACCACCACATGAAAAATGTCGATCTTACCGTTGCAGTAACTATTTATGCAAAAGTTATCATTCTCCTCTATGGTAAACATCATCGTTGTATGATGACTGATTTTTCTAACAGTGGGGTAGTGACTACTTATACTTACCAAAATCGCAGAGCGGCTCTATGGCTGTTGCTCACGAGCACTTTGAGGCTAACTTATCATATGGAGGAGCAGACTTCTTCATATGTTTTTGCTGTTCTTCATCATATCGGATATAGAGAGGCACAAGAAGCGTAGCCCCCAGAAAAAAAATGAGTATAAAACAATTTGCTGGAGTTATCAATCTCCCGCGATTCGGAACGGATTGCAAAGGAAGAAGACTAGAGAGATAAAGTGCTTCGGATTTTACTTGATCTGTTCACAGTCAAGTATTACAACTCAAAGATGTAAGAGGATAGACTGCTTGACAGGAGCAAAAAGTTTTTGTGCATTTATGAATGCCCTTGAGCTGCTACACTGCCTGAGCAAAATTTGGGATTTTTGCGGCGTTACTGCGATTATATTGAAGTACAAGCAGTTTTACTCCTCTTTCTCTCTTATATGAGCTATGTTCTCTCGCATAAGAAAAAGGGAAAAAGCCAACACCAGCATTGCTTGCAACGAATTCATGACCGCTTTTGTAAGTGTATGTAAATAGCAATTTTTTTATCATGACTCTGAAAAGGATGAGCTGGAGGGCAAAACTCCCACTTTTAGTATATATCTTGGTCGTCTGTAGCACCCAATTGAAGATTCACGCCCAGAAGCGGTATGGATTGACATGTACTTATTCCACCCGATCTTGCTGACTATCATTTCTGTGCAATATCGAGTTTTGAATTGGTTATCGAAAATGTTAATAAATCAAAATTCACCAAACAATTGATGATATTTCCTTTGTTACAAAGGATTTGTTTAATCTGTAATTGTTCTGATTTCAAGACCTGCAAAAGACTCAGAGCCCAATTTTTCAGTTTGGAATGAGGCTTAGGAGACTGATAGTTACACCTCCCTTCCCCCCCCCCCCCTTCCCCGAGAACTGTTTCTGATTTTCTAGTAGTGTATAACTATCATGAGGATTCTTCTGCTAAAGCAACTAGAGTGCCGAAAGTTTTGGCCGGTTATTGAGTCGATAATGGATTAAATGCAGAACAGTTCCAGTGTGCTAACAAACTTTGCGCAAACTTATTAGGGTGTCTCGTAACTTTTTACCTTTTTTACCCTAAACCTTAGCAATTTTCGAGAACTGTGGCACTTACATAGGGTACAAATACATGATCATACTTCTGTATGTAAAAACCATATGATCATGCGTGTGGAAGGACCTCAGGACACATCTGGGGCAGAGTTTGCCATTTTACTTCAATCATTTCCTCTTTATTTCTAGCCAAGGAAACAATTCGAAAAGTGTACAATTAAGTGAACGATGTCTTCAGCATACGCTAGAATAATTGCGGAATTTTTTAGGTTTTTTGAGACCGAAATACGATTTTTGACGGTAAAGTTCGTTTTTAACGACGACCAGATTTTAGCGTCAAACTTCACCCGGATTACGAATAGGCAAAGTTTTGATATCCATCTTGTAGAGCTTGCATTGCTCCGTCAAATGATCACCCAAGCCTCTTCAATCAAGGGAGAGATACAAAAAGACGATGGTTGTAGTAAAAACGGTAAAAAAATTATGACACAACCTGATAAATTCTCTCGTAATACATTCGTTTCTTCTCGCCTAGAGGAGCTTCGGATCTTTTTAAAGTCCTTAGAAAAAGGAGAAGATGCTGATGGACTGGTTGTCAATTCATGTGCAAATGTGCGTCCAAATCATGTTGTGTAATGATGGTGAAAAGTCACAAGTTTAAATTATACTTTGATAGAGAAAAGAAGATGAAAGGTTAGGATTGGGTGAAGAGACATTTATGAGCTAGACGCATACTGATCCAGTGTCACTGAAGTTCCCGCAGGCTTGCTTTGTAGTCACATTCATTTCTTTTTTATCAAAGATGGTGACAATATTCATATTGAAGCTTTTATTGGAGAGAATGTCAATAAATTTCAATTTTATATTGTCTTATCACTATGATCTTGTCCAGGCCTGCCCTTCATAAAAGGATCTAAAAGTTAAAAAATTGAATTTCACATCAAATCCACATCATTCCTAAAACTCCTGAAACATGTAGTTTGCTTTCCTATCAATGTTCTAGCAAAGCGATGACCTTTTCGTTCTCATGTCAAAAAGTTGAAGAAAAAGAGCGTGATTGTGGAATAGTAAATTGTGGAATGCGATATGGACGAGGTGACAAGAGTTTAGTTGGACTCTGATAGTGTATTACTGTGATGACAAGGCCTCGTGTGCCTTTTTTTGCCCCTTTGATAGTGTATGTATTACCGTGTTGAAAAGTCTCGCGTGTCTTTTTCTTCTTGCTCTTTCTATTTTGAAACTATCAGACACGATATTTGGTACGTATCTGTGCAAATGAACATTTTTTCTGACTAGAGTCACAATAAAAATTCAGCTGAAGTTTCATGACTAGATAGTAGGTCTATAGACAAGATTTGGTCTGTACATATACAGCAGATAAACTCTATATGCTAGTCACGGCTTTATACATCAGCAATTCAATGCTTTACGATTTACGCCTCAGATCTAATACTTGGCTTTAAACTTTATGTTTAGCGTTACTCAGATAAAGCAGAGTCTTATCATTTCTGAAACAACATACGTCATGACAAAAATTCTGCAATGAAAACAGCCACAGCATCACATTAGCACCAATTTGCAATATACAGTTTCACTCATGGTGAATGAGACCAGTGGCCGTATTCATCAACGAACCCTTGAGGTTAAAAGTTACCTCAGCTAGCATTTTAGTTTATAACCCATATTCACAACATGATCGCAATGAAATTTTCTCGTGGGTTAAGTCTACCTTGAGGTAGAAATGAACCTTCAAACGCATAAACCCGTATTCATCATTCTACCTTGAGGTTAAAATCTACCTCAATCATCATTTTTCCATCAACTTTCTATTATGCTTTCAAGGTAAAATTTAACCCTGAGATAGCTAGGGTTAAAATTTACCTTGACTTTGCACATAAGATTTGAACTCTTTTTAAGGACCTTTTAAATTCTTACGCAACCGTTTTCAAAGACAAACATATCTATATCTATAGTGAGTTTCAACTCAGTTTAGGCGGAAATTAAACCGGCGGGAGTCCGCTTCGCAAGGACTCGCGCCAATTGCAGTCTGCATATTTTCATTCTAATCTGTCTCGCTGAGCCAGTGACATTGCAGACGCGCTGCTCCATTTGAATGTTTCGTCTACACCGGGTTTTAAGAGACTGTAAAACTAGCTCAAATTTTACTTGTTTACTTAGTCTCAATCCTTATCCTAATCATGGTTTTCAAGGCTCTAAGAGTAATTTAAAGACCATTAATAGGCGAAGCGTCGAACCATTCGACAGATACGCATCGATGATTTGAGCTTCAAGCGAGCTCCTTTCTTTGGAAAAATACTTGTGGCCGTCAATACAGCCAAGCTTCACTAAGGAGAACCATGCTGTTTGACTTTCTAAACTTAATGTTTGGTTCCTTTTCAAGCGGTCAGTAAGCGATCTTCCAAAACTTTACAGGCGAACGAAAGGTGATTTTTTGCGTGTAGTAAGTTTCTTGTGATTGAAAGCATAGATTGCTTTTAAGACTCTAAGGAGATGTTTGGTCGGGTAGTTTCTAACTTGTTTTTGCTCATTTCAGGCTTTGAAGAAGGCGAATCATTGCTGAAACGTGGATAATAACAGCCAATTTCAGCCGTAGCTAGAACGGAATCGATACAGTACCCAACAAATAATAAAGTTTGTTGAAGGCAGTGGCTCGGCAAATCCTCAACCTGTGGTTTTTTTTGCTTATCTGGGGTAAATTTTGAGATGTTTGATTTTGCCGGGCCACTGCCTTCAAAGACACCATGTGAGACTTTTGCAACCCCAAAAAACTTGAGACATCAGGCCAGTGCACACTCCTCCTAGATAATGCACTGATGATATACTTCTTGAAGCTTCAAGCGGAATCTTTCCCAGACGGTAAACAAGCACAAGAAAGTATCTCACACCAGTGCTTTCCGTTCAATAGAGAGGCTTCTTAAGACTTTGGGAGATAAATTTTGTTAAATCACACCCTTTTCCTCAGTAATCTCTTGAGAATCTTAGACAGCTTCTACAGAGGAAAACTGTATCTTGAAAAATATTGGGTTGTCTCCTTTAAGAAACTAATGTCCGTCTCGGAGTTAAACCGCAATAAGTTATGCACTTCTCAATTTCAAGTTTCAAAGTACCATTCGATATAACAAAGCAAGCTCTACAAGATGGCAATCTTGCTTTTGCACCAGCTTTGATCCACCTCAAGTTTCAAGCCAAAAACCAAAAAGATTCAACTGCCCTAAAAATCGAGAAATCGTAACTTAATCCATAAAAATCCTACAAAAATTCTAACTTGCTCGGGTAGACACTGTTCACAAAAGACATTTATCTAGGTTAATGTCGCGATTTTTCATTTGTTAGAAATCAAACTAAGCGCAAATCTTCTTTTGCCAAAGTGATGCTGTGCTGTCTCCACATAAGTAGTTGCACACTACAAGCTTGTAGAAATATAAACATAAATTCTCAGCTCTTTACAAGCTTCAGTTCTTGAGAAATAGCGAATATAGCTTTCCTTATTCGGGTGATCTATACTAGAATCTGAATTTCGCAAAAACCAGAGCTTATAGAGAGCTGAGAATTTATGTACTTCCACAGGTTGGTTGTATAAAATCACATATGTGTGGACAGCACAGCATCACTTTGGCAAAAGTATGAAAATCTTCGTTTTTTTCAATTTCTAACCGAGAAAAAAATACGGCAATGGCGTATATAGATGTCTTACTTGGATACTGTTTGTGTGAGCAAGATAGAATTTTTGTGGGATTCTTATGGACTGAGCTAGAATTTTTCTCAATTTTTCAGGTATTGAATCTTTTAGTTTCTGGCTTGAGATCCGAGATGGATCAAAGCCGGTGCAAAGCTAAAATTGCCATCTTGTAAAGCTTGCTTCGCTCTATCGAATAGTAATTTGCAACTATCTAAAAATCAGAAGTGTATGACTTATTTCGTTTCAAATTCAAAAAGACATTATTCTCCGGACAACCTAATAGCTACTAAAGGTGGCTTGCTTCTAAATTTCATTGTCGCAAGTAGCGCAGAGGAAGTGAGTTTAAAATAATTTTTCATCACATTTTGATGTCTGGGTCAGGAGGATTGTTTTGCAGCGGATGCGAGTAAAAATTTTGTTTGTCCAGATAAAGGCTACAAACACCACATACAGATACTATAGTGCAGTTTCAGTGGCAAGTTCATTCAAATCGTTAGTTCCATGAGACGGTCAAATGCAAGATCTTTTGCGCGCAAAGGCACATATATGTCGATCGTTGGCAGAATCAGCTTATTATACGAGATTCATATGGTGCAGCTCAAATTTAACTCTACTTACACTCTGATAGTCATGAAGCGTATGTATCTGATAAAACTCAATTGGAACGCTTTATCATGGAAATGATTCCCTATATAGGAATCTTTTATACTCCGCACAAAAGCGCGCCCAAAACCTCAAAAAGCGCCCAAAAGCGCCGGGACGCCACTTTTAGCAGACCTTTTTAGAAGCACCAGTCAAAGGCAGCGTCCAGGCAAGTCTGGACACATGGGGATCTCACGTGGATAGTAATTTGGGGCCCTAACTAAGCCACTGCCCAACCGGCAGCTCAGGTAGTGCTCTAACGGCTGAGAATTTCCCTCGAAACTGGACCCCGCGATCGTATTTCGCATGGATTCATGGCGCAAAGCGTGGATCCTGGCGCGAAACTGCCATGAATCCATGCGAATACGATGGGCCCAGTTTCTAGGGTGATATCTCAGCCATTCGAGCACTAGCTGCGCTGCCGCTTGGGCAATGCCTTAGTCAGGCCCCGGACAGACTTCACGCGATTTGATCTTTGCGACTCAATCGCCGACTTTTCCATTCATTTTCATTTCACATTCAAAAACTTTGGGCTGGAAAAGTGTCACAACCGAAATGCAAGTTGATCGGCATGGAATGATGTTGTAACAGTTGTCTCTTCGCGATTCAGTCGCGACGATCAAATCGCGTGAAGTCTGTCCGGGGCCTTAGGGCCCTAAAAGTACTTTCCACGTGAAATTTCCATAGGTCCAGATCTGCCTGGACGCTGCCTTCCGCTACAGCTAATCGTGAATTGCGGAAGAGGAACTCGTTATCTTTTGAAAATGTTAGTTAGGAACCATGATGATGACATCAAGCCAGAGTTCAATTGATTTCTGAGTTATTTCAGCACTTTGTTTCGCAAAGTTATTAAGTGCGAGCAACGTTTATAAACTATGCATCAAAGTGATTTTTACAGGTAGCTACCCTCTTAGCGGTCGAAAGCCTATCAACTTGAAAACGAAAATGTGCATGCAAATAGCGTTGTGAAAGTTTAGAAAGCTAGAACAGTTTTATGGTGAAGCTTTCCAACACTGAGTGTGGTCGGAAGATGTGTCATGATAATTCTGAATGAACGCGTAGTTGTTCTAGTATCAGCATGTTTCCAAAACTAACGCTTCAGCGCCAAAAATCGGGCTCGTGAAGGAAGCATTCTGGCGCTCAGGCGCTTTTCGGCATTCCTGGGCGCTTTTCATTGATATGACGGGTGTCTTAGAATGCTTTCCTGCTAAAACACGGCAATTGGACCTATAGTATGTAAGTCTGTACTCATTTGGCAATTAAAAAGAACACTAACAGCGAAAGACTTCATGCACCGCTAATACGTCATGACATGTTCTGAATAAGAATCAGTGAGTATTCAGCTGACCACCAGGTAGATTTTAACCTCAAGGTAGTTTTGTGAATAGCAAACTTACCTTGAGGTTAAATTCTACCTTGAGGCATGCTCTCAAGGTAGAATTTAACCTCAAGGTTCGTTGATGAATACGGCCACGGGAGTGACGGCACACAGTGGAAGAACGAAATAAGGTTAAGACGTAAATTACGACATTAACGCAGAACAGGAATACAAGAATAAAAAATCAAAAAAAAATAAAGCCATTACACCATGCTCTTAATGAGTCAATGGGCTCAAAAGAAACACATGTTTTAGTAAAAATCGCATTGACCCTTGAATTACTTTACCTTCTTTATGGAAGCGTAAAAGACCGTATTCTGTGCAACAACTACACTTTTCTAAAAGTTTCATTGCAAAAAAACAATCTATTATAATCGTAATTGTAAGAAGAGTAAAAATTTATTACAGAATCAATGTGCTCTACAAAACTAATTCACAAAACTGATTTCGTTTCCTGAACCATGCGTAAAGGCTTATAAGACTTTCTCGAACAGGCGTTTTTTGACGCCTTCCACAGATCTCGCATTCTGAAAAAAAAGAGCGTAAAAGTAAGAAGGAGGGGATAGCAGGAAGCTTACGCCTCGGAAAAGGTTGTCATCCCATTTTTTGAACTTTGCTTTAAAGGCTTCTGGTTCCATTCCCTGATACACTATCGGCAAAACGTTAGGGTTGATACGACGTCGAGGTGCTTCTTGTTCAAGGTACCTCTGTTACTACCGTCGCCAAAGCAAATGTGATCAAGGCCATGAGTTTACCTTTGCTATAACCGCTGCTCCTTCTCTTTCTTGTTGGCTCGCACACGCGCCGATCCATATATAAATTTGGTCGTAGGCGTCCAGTATCATAACATCGTCTCCATCAAGACTCTGTACATGATGTTGACTGCGCTCTCAGAATCTGGTTGATATTACCTCTTGAGTGTAGTTCGAAATTTCTTCAACAATAAGTCTATCCGGTGGGCGGTCGTAAACCTGATACAACCGAGGTGTATAAAGTTCTCTTGCTTGACTCGCTTGGGTCCAGTCAGGGAACCTCAATAAGGAGTTGATTGTACATATTTAGAGTTTTTGATAGGGCTGTATGACAAAAAAGGTAACTTTCTGCCTGTCTTTGAAAGTAAACAGTCACATGAGCTGATGATCTGACAATGAGTCATCTACTGCACGGCTTCAGAGAAGTTAGTTATATTCTTTGCTGGGAACTTTCGCTCATTCCTAACTTTGAATTGAGATTTTTTTCGTTCAAAAACGACAGCTATAACTAACTGCACAGCGACTTGCAGCAGAGTGAGTGATTTTTACACTTTTATTGATGAAGATCATGGTGATGTTGATTTTGGATGAACCTTCTGGAATGGTAAAGGCAGCAACCATAAGCAGCTTTAGTCTAGCTGTCCTTCGATGCGGCGTTCTACGAGTTATACTGCTTTGTGCGGGTTTGAAAAGGTGACAAGCAGTCGGTTGCCGTCGTAAGATTCCGCAGACAATAACTAAGGAAGGAGGAGTTTTTTTACAAGGTAAAAGTCCTTTTTTTACAACGTCAGGTATTTCTTGATAAGGTCCAAGTTACTAGGTTGTTGTTCGAAAAGACAGCTATGTATTGGAATACGCCTTTTCACAGGAGGAATCAGAGCTCAGCCGCCTTGTACCAAAGACGATAACTGAGAGCGCGAGCAATGAAGGATCTGACATGGATCCAAAAAGCTTATTACTTTATCGGGTAAGAAAAAAGATACTATTCCAGAATACGCAACCATTCGATTCAAAAGGGTTATTCGACACGCTAATCATGATTTTCACATCCATTTCGTCTCATAGCGCAATGTGGGAAAGAGTATGTCCATTACGTCGTGCGAAGACTGGAGGATTATGAGCTAGCCACTTCGACGCGGCCAAGTTTCTGGGCCGCCTCTCTTTAACTGCAGCATTGAGTGCTCTCTCTCTCCCCCCTTCCCCCCCCCCCCCTCCCCGTTGAGAGTGTTTTAGGAGGAATCGCCCTGTTTTGGGAGGTTTAGGGCATGTGGTTGAAATTGATGAAACCCGTGTGACGAAGAGGAAGTATAACCGAGGACGAGTGGTACGCCTCCACCAATGGTTGTTTGCGGGCTACGAGAAAGGGAGCGACAGGTCCTTCCTGGTTTTGGTGCGCCAGCGGGACGCCAGGACACTTCTCAGACTGATTGTGAGATACATCCGGCCGGGGACCACCTCGTCAGCGACTGCTGGCGTATCTACAATGGAATTGCGTTTCTGCCGCAAGGTACCGCCCTTAGAGTAAACCACCAGATAAATTTCGTTGACCCCAACACAGGCGCCCACACGCAATATCGAAAGCCACTAGCAGAAATTTGAGCGGCTGGTTGAGAGACGGATCATAGGTGCGATAGGGTGAGAATTTGTTCACCCTCTCTTCACCCCTGAACCGGGGCCCAGGTGACCCCTTTCGCCAAAAACCGAGGAAAAAAATCAAAAGTGAGGTAAGGTTAAGCAAAGGTAATAATTGTACGGGAATTGCTTGTGTATCGGAAAGGAGGAAAAAGATTTATAGGCATTCACGAACTTTCAGGAGGAAAAAAATAGTAGCTTCTGTAGCTGCACAGCAACATCAGCGAGAAAAGTTTCGTGGTACAATGTTCCCCTCTGGTTTCAGGGAATAAATAATTTGCATAGAGTTTGTTCATAGAAGTACTCAGTGAAAGGTGTGCCTAGTGATTGCTGGACACTTACAAATCTTCAACATAAAATAATTCATAAATTTTGTGGATAAATAGCCGGTACAAGGAAATAGGACGAAACCGCCTCGTCCTTCACTTATGAAAATATATAGCATATCTGAGATCCGTTAAAAAAGTGCCTGCTGAAGGGTGTCCCTAGTGATTTCTGAAGATTTTCGAGTTTTAACATAATAAAATTCATAACTTTTGTTGATGAACATCTTGTACGCTCAAATGGTCATCAGGGAAACCGCCTCGTTCCGCTTTCAGAAATTATATACTTTGCCTGGGGTCCGTTGAAAAAAGTGCCGGGTGAAGGGTGGGCGGACTCTTACAATGGGAGTTCTCAAGTAGACGTTCTTTTGTAAAAATGTAATGATGAAAAGATTAGGGAAAATGATGAGAGAACACCATCACTCACCTCCCCCTCCTCCCCCCCCCCCCCCCCCACCCCCTCGGTCGACATTCTACAATTTCTCGATCAAGTGAAACACCCTTCACCCTGGAGGGGCTGCGACCACTGTGACCCCTTTCGGAGGAGTCATTCTCACCTTATCGCACCTATGAAACGGATGTGATATTCGTGGTCAGCGTGTCGAATAACCACTGTATGCGAAGTTTCAGCAAAAATCCGAGGTTTTGAGTTTTTGGGTTGTATAAACTGGAACAGCGCCGAAAAAAATTATCATAACTCCGCTTGCAAATATATTTAAGAGACGTCAGACAGTTCCGGAACACATTAGAGACGCGTTTTGCAGCGTACGCCTACCGGATAGTCGACATACAGTTTGCCCCAATCCCAGGCCAAAGTTGGGGCGGGGATCCGTGTCGCGCGGGTACTGCGTCACGTTTAAGGCTAGGTAGTCTGTCCTCCACTCATTCCTTCGCTCAGGCGACAGAGCGCGTATGCATCGCAAACCCTTAGCGTTACGAGCGGCTCTGGGTCAGGAGTCACACCGCTCGCGGTGGCCGCTCGTCGCGCCCAAATTTTGTGCCTCATAATAACTCCGGTGCTAAAGTGGCACGGCGCCACAGTAGGGGGGGGGGGGGGGGTGGGGGGTGGCGGCAGATACATGACTCGATGGCATAAGTAACATTGCGACAGGAGTACTAGCGGAAGCTGAGTCTTGTACTGCTTGACGTCGCGTTGCGGCGACGCTTCGCGAAAAATCGTGACTCCTGACCCGTAGCCGTTGCGAGCGCACAAATTCAGCCGACGCTTCGGTTTGATCCCGATTGCAGCAGACTAACTGCTACTTCCTCTGCTTTACTCCCACAAAAAAAATTACCAAGAAGACTAAAGTCATAACTGTTAGCATCAAGAATCAAGAAATTGCAAATTCAAGATCTATGAAAAAACTGCAGTAAAATGAGACAGTTTGGTGAGACGCTGCCTTTAGTATATACTGCGATTATAGGCGGCAGGTATTTGCTTTATTTGCTTTCTTCTGCACCACCTCCAGTAAATGTAGACTTCTTTTAGAACTATTATATTGATGCAAAAATAATGGCCGATTTTTCAAGCCTTTTTTCAGGCCAACTTTCCCCACATCAAAATATCTTTTTAGAAATATGTACAGCATACCGCTGAAGGGCTGCTTTCATGCTCTATCTAATAGTGGTTGAAGGAGACTTCTAATCTCAGCTGTCTAGTATAAAGATACTGAGCTTCAAATGACCGCATCCAAATTCAAAATTTTTTTGCTTTTATTTTCTGGCCTCGAGCTTTCTGACCTCGCAGAAGCCCTATTCATACTCGAGAGCGTATGAATGGGGTTTCTGCGAAAATTCAGTATTGAAAATAGAAATTGTCTACACTATGCTTGCTTCACGGTATATTTTGAAGTTTTCCAACTGAGATATCGGCGCCTCAACATGCGTAGACGTTGCAGTCATTACATAACCCACAAGTTTCTTTTCAAAAGGTCAATCCCCAAGGCTTTGCTCAACTCTGTAAGAGTAAAGGTGCAAAAACTGCTGATAGGGCATCTTAACAGCAGTTTTTGCAAAAACATCCAGTTGTTCAGTGCGCCGAAAATTGAGATCCTATATTCGGGACTTTGAGGCATACTGAAAATTGTTTAAAAAACTGACAATTCTAAATTTTAACTTTTTTCTTTTCGGAAGCTTTTTCCTCCAAACCCTTTCTGTAGTTTTCATGTATTACTGACTTGCGGCTACAAGGTAGGCCACTTATCCTTTTACCAGTGCGTCACCTCTGCTTCGCAGAGGCTCGCACTGGCGCTACATTCTGTATGCCTTACTCATTCCCGCATAATAATGACATTGGAACTCACCGCACTATGTAGGCTATTACGAATTATAATACTAAGAGACTTTGAAGAAGGTTATAAATTGTCAAAAACCAGGTTTCAAAAAAACCTCTTTTCGTTCTACCATCCATAATTTTCTGTCCGTTTATGATACTGGTGCAGGTAAATGTGCGATGTATTGCAAAAGGTTTGCTGCTTCGATGACTTTCCGCATTCCGATATGGATTTTTCAAAAAGTTATAGCACGTTAAAGTGAGAAATCACTAAACGGCCATTATTTTTGCATCAAACTAATAGAATCCTTATGCAAAGGAGAGCAACAAATGAAGTGCGACTGACTCACGCTGAACATATTAACGCTTAGCTTAGAAGCACGTTTTAGAGTTGTAAGTGAGCAAAAGTAAAACCTAGGGAAAATGTGTTTTGGTGGAACATATTTCACCACTTGAACTCCACAATATTTGAATTGAGTTTCTTCGACTACCGTCTTAACGTTTAAGGAGCTGACCATCGCGTAAACGAGGGCGTCTCATCACCTTCCCTAATGCAAGTAACTTGAGTCCACTGTGGCAAGTTCTGCAAAATTAGGATTACGAACTGCAACGTTTCCAAAGAATAACCTTCTGTTTGATGTAATTTTCTCCCCACTGTAATGCCCTCTTTCTTTCGTTCGGAGTGCATCCTTTGCCAAGCCATACGTATACACCGCCTCTGGCATCAAGAATAAAAGCGTCCTAAAGTTTAACACAATCTGTAAGTGCTTTGAAGCAGCTGCTCATACTCCAGTCTTTCAACTCCACAATAAAAGTAGAGTGTTCAGTGTACTAAGGTGAACCGTAAAAAATGGGACAGCTTGATTTTCATTACATTTTGAAATATTTGTTTCGAACAACAGCAAGCAGGTCGCAACTTAAACGTCGCTTATGTATGCAACCTTCGCCTATTATCTGGGAAAGTGTTAACGCTCCTCTTCCACAACGCTTGCATGGAGCCTCGAAGAACTCGAACAGGGTTTTTTGAACATTTCTCATTCTTGCGTTGCCATACCGTAAAGTCAAAAGCGAGTCAAATACCATTCGAAAGAGGATTTTTTTTTTTGATTTCTGAATAAAAAAGCAATTACTTGAAAAATCTTTTACTCAATTAAAAACTATGTTTGAATCCATAATTCTTGAACATAGAAGAAGTTTGAGGTAAACAGCAAGTGGATGGATAGGGCGTAAAGAGCTCGATCAGATGGTAGCCAGAAAACGTGCGGTCACTTGCAAAGAGTAAATAACACGTGTCTTTGTTCTCGAAACCGTAACCCTATCTCGTAACTTCAAGCGTTGCCGCTAGCAAGCCATAGCGGGTTTGGTAACTGTACCTTCACCCATTGCAGCAGTGGCGCTTTAGATGGTTTCGTATGTTTCACTGCGCAGATACTGCTAGAAGTTCATAATTTGTCGAAGTGGTTAGCTTTGCATTTTGACAAGTATAAAAATTATTAGGTATGTGAAAAACCTTATATAGTTACTTTCTGAAAGAGAATAATATATTCTAATATCTTTCAAAATAAGAAATTTCAATTACTTCTCTTTCTTGAGAAGTCTTGAGAAATTTACAATCATTCTCAAGGTGTCCCATTTTTTACCGTTCGCCCCAATATTGAACTGACCTGAGAATCTAGCTGACTTTGTTTTATTTCACCCTCGGCTACTTTAGTTACTTCCAATCTTCCAGATGCATCGGATACCCTGATAATGAATCGTAAATTCATCATATTCGATTGCATACATTACACAGAAGCACCTGTACAATGCACTCCTATCAACAGGTTTTTCATAGTAACTCTGCTGCTCGACATCCCTAGTTTTCTTAATGTGGCTCGCATTCTGCACACCTCCAGAATGTGACCAGAACGCCTCATTTGTGTTCCAGTCCGAATCTACAGAATACGTACACAGTAAAAAAAATCGTAACTTCTCACTTACCTACTACATTGACATGCGCTTTGTTATTCCGTTCATCTTCCGACATGTGTTTAGCAATCTCCATTCCCTGTCAACGAATGTTTATCTTATGTGTCAGCAAAGAGAGAAAAGCACCTTGATTTTTTCAAGGCGGCCACTATCCGGAGGCATCCAAATATAGATCTCACTACCAAGGTCTAAGATGAAAACATCACAGAGATTTAGCGACTCGGGTTTACAGTCCACCTGAAACAATCATCCATGATCATCTATGCAATAGTAAAGAATGTATATTTTGACAGATCAAAGCAAGCTCTACAAATAAGCACTCGCACAAAGTCTGCTTTCCGTGATTTTTGAAGAAAGAACCTTGAAAATAACAAAAACTGGATTCATCATCAGACAAAAATGCTCTACAAAGTTCAACTTGCTTCATATAATCTTCACATCAAAGTCTATGTATGTAGAGCTACTAGAGCTGTGGAGCTTTCTTGTCTAAATAAAAACAGCTTGATACGACATGTCTCCTTTTTCGCGTTCTCATGGTTTGAATGCTGAAAACCGGTGGTCAAATTCAAAGTCATGTAGCATGTTTCTTGTGGAAACAGCTTGACGTTGCCACACGCAACTTCCACTACAACAAATTTCAGTTATGAGAAAAATACAGCAAATGTACAAATGAATGTTTGTGATGAATATATGCGTGAACAAGTGAGACCTCAGATTTTTTCTCAGTGATTAGATAACTGCCTATATGAAATTTCAAATTTTGACTTCACTTTTTAGGTCGATCTTTCCGTAAATGTTTGAAACCTTCCTGTGACGGGTCGGTGCCCTAGAACGTATCGACGACGTAAAGTTTGAAGCCGCACCTGACCTGAGCGCCCTGTACGCTTGCGCGTTTTGCAAACAACGCATCTAGCTTACTAGTCACGTCTAGCGTGCAACAAACAACAATAATCTACTGACATTTAATTCTGACGACATCAAATAAACAATAAAACTGCAATGCTAAAATGTACTGGCCAAAATAATCGCTAATCGAAAAAAATAATCGAAACAAAACCCGTATGCTGGACGAGATGTTCGTTCCGTATTACCGATGGTGGGCGTATATCAAGCTCAAACATGCTCCTGAGGCTTCATCTTGAAGTCTGCCGCATGTGGCTAAGGATGAACGGTAAGACGTCTTCTACTCTCAAAGCTCTATAGATTCTGCTCTCCTAATCCAGAAACATTCAAGAAGGCTCGAGTTGTCGTCCAAAATTCACTCCGAGTTCTACTTTCAGTTCAAATTCTACCGCTCGTAAAAATTATATCTAAGTTAAAGATCATACGAAAAATACCGATAGGGAATGAAAGCAGACAGCTACCGAAATAAGGCGCCGCTATAAGTAGCCCTTCTGCTGGCAACGCGTCAAGGCAAGGAGAGGACTGAACCGATTGGCAAAGCGTGTAAAGCCACAGTAATCGTAGGATAACGCAACAACCACTGCCCCCGAGCTCCGTACTTCCAACAGCGCTCGCACCAAGGAGCCGCAACACATATTATGAAGCTTGTCTTGCTTTACTGAATAGTAAGCCTCCTACAGTTTTTGGTTCAATCAAACGCCAAGGAACACGCACTATATCTACTACAACTTAATGCAGTCTCACAAAAAGCGTCAGATCTGGCCTAAAACCACCGATTATAGCTCATTATGAGAACCTTGCTGGATTACCAACCTTTGCACTAGATGCTAAAATTTGCACGTTTTTCAAAACTTCTCTTGAGTTGAAGAAGATGAGAAAATGGAGGGCGGATTGACGAGAGCAGCACCTCTGAACATCGAACATTTCGTTTCCCTTCGCAGTGATACAAGCGCGGTTCCAGGTTGCTGGGCAAGCGTTCAGCGCGAACTGCGGAATCATAACCACCTTTCAAATATCTTAAACAAGTGTTTACTCAATGATCTTAGTCAACTAGATATGATTTACCTAATTCCGTAGGGGAAGTAAGAGAGGAACAGTGATGATTCGTGCTTCTGTACTTCTCGATGTTGTGTTGCACGACCGCCCAATGCAATGTCGATCCTTGCAGCTGCCATCCCGGCTGATCCCACTTCGTCGGCAGTTGCACTTTCACCTACCCAGACGTGCAGATTCCAGGTTTGATCGGCAGTCTGAATATATGTGAGTGTGACACCTAACCGTTTAGGGAATGCTTTTTATCCGACCGTCTTCTTCACCTAGCATGTATTAGGTCATCTCAAAAGTTTTTTCATTTTTAAATTTTTACCGCAACAAGTCACACACTTCTCATATCTGACTGAGATGCAGGGCACCGTTCGATAGAGCAATGCAAGCTCTATAAGATGATTTGTGTTGGGAAGTGATGTATCAGTACTGTATATGTTTTGCATTGTCTTATCGTTGTCTTCCGTTGTAATTCGATATCTTTTCACTTCAAGCTCGGCTTCCCGTGAGGTTCCCGCCTGTTCTCATGAAGCCTTTCTAGGCGCCTGGTACCGAGTGGTACGTTCTCACAGTCGTGTATGTATAGGAATATAATTATTAATATATAGGAATATGTGTATAGGAATATATAGGAACCGTAATTATTTGATGTTTTTCATTCACTATTCTGATCAGCTAATAAACTACTGAGTATTCCACTGTGTCCGGTTCGACTCAATAGACAAGGACTACAACAATTTGTAAGTGTTCGTACCAGCTTCAGTCATCACAAGTTAGAAGCCAAAATCTGAGAACTTCTAGATGCCCAAAAATTAAAAACTTCCTATGACTTTGTCCAAAGAAAACGCCGGATTCCAAATTTGCTCACGCATACACCACACAGCACATTTATATATGCCGTTGCTGTGTCTGCTTCCGTGCTAATAACCGAGATAGCCATAATTTTCAGACTTCCAAAAAAGTGAAGCTGTGCTGTTCTCACACAAGTAAATCTAAACTATAGGCCCTCAGTAATACATCAGCAAATTACAAGCTTCCTCCTGAAAGTTTAATGTTCTAATACTTCTTATGCCGCACAGGTTGGTATGGTGGATCTTTATCGACCTAACGTTTCGAACAACTCGTCTTCGTCGGAGGTCTGGAAAGGATTGTAGTTTACGTACCCGTTGTACTGTGCCGCCAAACATCTCGTCCGAGTCCTCTTCGCTTGACGTTTTCTCGGACGCAACGTACTGGGAACATCAAACGAGGGCAAACGAACCTTCGGTCCACCAAAGTGTCAGTAGTCCGCACTAGATCAGTGTGACGGACATCACTGAGTTGTGCCCAGTGAGTCCTGCTACTTATAGTGTGCGGTATCGAGCTCACACAACGATATCAGTGGTAGTAGATCACTCGTTATCGTCAGACATTCATTTCTGTTGTTCATACTCGGATTACGAGAGTATATCCACGCCGCTTCAAGGGTTTTTCGTGCTTGATTTTAGCGTTAAATGCGTCATCCTAGCGTTTGAGACTGACATTCAAGCACGAAAAACCTTTGAAGCGGCGTGGATATACTCTCGTAATCCGAGTATGAACAACAGAAATGAATGTCTGACGATAACGAGTGATCTACTACCACTGATATCGTTGTGTGAGCTCGATACCGCACACTATAAGTAGCAGGAATCACTGGGCACAACTCAGTGATGTCCGTCACACTGATCTAGTGCGGACTACTGACACTTTGGTGGACCGAAGGTTCGTTTGCCCTCGTTTGATGTTCCCAGTACGTTGCGTCTGAGAAAACGTCAAGCGAAGCGGACTCGGACGAGATGTTTGGCGGCACAGTACAACGGGTACGTAAACTACAATCCTTTCCAGACCTCCGACGAAGACGAGTTGTTCGAAACGTTAGGTCGATAAAGATCCACCATACCAACCTGTGCGGCATAAGAAGTATTAGAACATTAAAGTTACAGTCGAAGATGCCCAGGTTTCAAGATGAGAACACATGGAAAATTCCTCCTGAAAGTTATTGAGATGTACCAAATTTAACTTTTCTTTGTTTGCTCTACATAAATGTTACCAGCGCTCTTTACAAACATCAGGATAAAAATTTTTAAAATTCAAAAAAGATTTGGCTTTGCTGCTAGACTGCCCGAAAATTCATGGCGATAACATTGCAAAGACGAGGTAGATCCGAGAGCATATATAACTGTAAGAAAGAGGATAATAATCTGAGTCAACGATACTCAAGTCGTCCATGGGTTGGTTATCTCTGAGTTTTGATGAGCGATGAAAAAAACGGACAAAACTTTCGGGACAACCTAATATTTGATTATATCTGTTGAGAGATCTGTTTGCCAGTCTCATATTTTATTTTAAACTCTGTTTGTCGTGCGCACGATTTCCCCTATATGGAATTGTTGGAAAGAGTTAGATCATATCCATTTGTAAAAACCTTCACTTTCTTAGTTGTAGTTGCAAGAGGCAATTTTCAAATTAGTAACATTTCGAGTTCACAGTGCAAAACAGTGTGCTATATCATTCAAAAAAAAGTACTTGGAGTGATTGAGTAAATCCCGCCAAAAACCTTCACAACGAGTTGTAAAAGTACATCATGAAAAGTTACTTGCCTGACTGAGCTTTATGTCATTTGGTGCTTATGCAAAGAACATTTAAAAAACTGTAGACAAGTTTTGGTAAGGTTAGCGCTAACTAGCGCGCGCTGCGAAAGTTTGAGCCAAATATCCTTCTTTTAGGTTGACCACTCTTCTAACACGACCGTTACATCGATGTTGTATTGAAAGCTTATATGGATTATGTTGAAGAATTCAAACTGCTATGCGCAGGCAAATTATCGTAAATCATTCAAGTCCTCACCTAAACTGTCAATTTTGAAAAACCATTCGAATGTGAATTGTTTACACAGTGGACAGATGCTGTCGACTTACTCCAGAAAATTCCTTCATTCAAGAGAAGTTTCTTATCTATAGTCCCGTTCTCTCTTCAATACTGTAGGGGCTTTCCGTCATGAAGGGTCATATTCTACTTCTGAATAAGAACTAATGAAGCTGAAAACTCCTACAGTAGATTAATCTGGGCCATTGATTTCGATATGTCGTACTTTACCGTAGTGCTCTTTTCATAGTTATGCCAGGTAACGTGACTAACGACCGATTTCTATATATATTGGGTCGATATTCTATCGATATTGGGTCAAAATTTAAACGCTAATTGAAAAGCTCCGCGAAAGTTACATAGTGATCAGTATGTAGAGAAACTACTTAGACGACTTTTCAGATTTTTGTGAAAAAAATCTTATTTTTTGAATGGTCCACTTGCAGTGGTGCTCCCACAGTATCGAAGAGCGATCGCTGATTCGCTCAAAACTATAAACCTGAGTCGAAGCCATCTCTAGAAAATGGTATCTAAAATATCTTGAAAGATTCCATGACAGAGAGTTTTAACAATCAAACAGTAGGCACATTTTTGGATACAATGTATATTTATTAGCTTCGCACATAAGTTTTGCAATTTAGTCCATAATTTTCTCTTCTTAAATATAGCGCTCTCGTTTCTGGCTCAATGTAGATCAGATATCAAGCTACAAAGCTACGCCCACCGTTTTGTTTCTGGTGGCGAAATGGGGGAGTTTTGCTTTTTTTGCAATTTTGAAAGCTGGTTAAATCAGAAACTTCACCGGGCTAAAAATCAAGTCATTTTCAGCCTGCATCAAACATATCGAACCGAAACTGTACACCGATTGTTATATTTATGTAGCGACCATCTCCAGTTTACTATCAGTACGTTTGATGTAGGCTGAGAAAGGTTTCATTTTTGTTTTTGGCACGGTGAAATTGTGTTTGACAAGATTTCGGAAAATGAGCAAAACTTCGCAACTTGCCACCAGAAACTGAACGGTTAGCGCACATTTGTGGCCGCTGTCTAATTTACATTATTTAAGAAAATGAGAGCGCTTCAACCAAGAACAGCAAAGTTATGGAACAAGTTGCAAAACTTAGTGGCAACCTATAATATGCAGACATTATAGAAGATTTCAGAAGGGTATTGCAAAAGCTTTTTTTAACGCTTACCATTTCTTTCGTTCAGAATGATGTGTTTTTATTCATAACCAATTTGCTCTTGTGACGAATTGCTCGATACTTTCTTCGTTCTACGATTATTTGCAGCTCGCGATGTCTTTGACTTATTTGAGAAGAAAATTTACAAATCCTTTCTACCGCTTACCGTTGTCCCCGCGCATCTGACACAAAATTCAGATGAATCACTTGTTTTACAGACAAAAGGTTGCAAAAGACACGACATGAAAGGCCTATATTTCCAGCATTCATTGCTGGAAGGGTTTAGTTTCTGATCATTTCATTCTCGGGTGATAGATCTTTTATCTGTAATTACCTTCACTTAATTTGGGTGCAAAGGCTATACAAAATTCTTGATTTTACAAGAAGTGTTACTCACGTTTAGGCATACGTATGCATCACCAGTGTAGAACTGCCCATACTCACTTCTTGGCACTGGTTCTAGACTGAGATTCTGGAACAGTTACCGTAAGCTACGCTGCAGTTGAATATTGATAGATTTTCAAGTACGCAAGTTTCAATCAAGGGCAGGAAAGGAGATAATGCAAAGCACATATTGCATCATAAAACGCCTTTTACCTTGATTCTCCATATTTCTAGTCCATTTCGCTTACCAACTGCACTGAGATCAACATAAGAAGACATGAGGCTTTGATGATGTCACAGAGTTGGTTGGCTTAAAACAACTGGGCTAAAAAAGTGATAATCAGTCAGATAGGCATCGCCTAGTTGAGTCAGCATGCATCGCTTAGTTGTGCAAATCATGAAAATTCAGTCAGGCAAATAAGTAAAGAAATAAAGCTCAGGTATAAACATCGAAAGGTCCTTTCCAGCCTTCAGATAAGATTGTGCCTTTGCTGAATTTACAATACAAGTACATAAGAACAAGTGAAAGGTATATGCGTGCTGGCTCAGCAATAAAATGTTTTATTGTTTGTGATGTGATTCAACAGCAACGAAAGGCAAAATAATATGCTTTTCACGTGTGACTTAGCCTTAGAAAAACCACATTTGCCTTACTTTGCGACAGAAAAGCGCTTATAATATCAGCGGCAGGAACTAATTTGCGAAATCAATTATTCGTCAAGGCTTCCACACTTCCTTAGACACCGATGGTCACCGTAGGTGAAAACGTATGGAATGTCCAATTTCTCACTACATGTTCTGTTGTTGTTTCCCCAAATGCAAGCATACCGCTGAAGAGTGGCAACATTGATGACTTGGGACCAATTTACGCAGTTCTTTGAGGATACGAGTAATGAAGTTGCGAAACAAACTTGTCTGCCGGAGAGCAGCCGAAGGATTTTAGCGAGTGCCCGGATGGGCATTTCCTCGGCTGTATTTTGTTACAAGTGGATGTGCTGGGAATCATTATCGACCGAACCGCAAAATGGGGCTTATTGTCGGTCGAACCGCAAAATGGGGCTTAGGACAATGCAAGACTGTTCTATGGTGCATAACTAGCGTGACGTGTAGGTTGACATTCGCCATCGGGTGCAGAAACCACGAGATGAGGTTTTGGCGTTCCTCCCTCGCGTCGCAGGTGAAGAATGTAGTACGAGCGCCAAAACTGACCTGCATTCAGATTTTATCGACCGACTATCTCGTTCTTAATACTGTGCAATTACCTTCGTTTATTATTTTTCTTGCTTGTAAGTGCGCACCTGACATGTTCCGCTTTAGTTTAGTACAATGTAGGATCAAATATCAATCAAACATTTCTTCCTGGCTATGAACAACTGCCTCAATCTTTCTTTATAAGCTCCTGCAAGACGAAGGCGGTCGGCTCGATGTGCAACGCGGCTGCGACACTGCTGCGTCACAGGCGCGTCACAGCCGCGTCACAGCCACGTCGCACATCGAACCGACCGCCTTCGTCCTGCAGGAGCTTATAGACAGTGTAATTTTTGGGTATCCTCGATTCACACGACCGCTTTGCGCCATCCGTTGTGAAAATGACTCGAAAACGCTTTGCAGACGTTCATTCACATGCTCAATCTTCTTCCTCCTGTCATCTGAAATGATAGGCCAAGCAAAATGAGGCAAAGCCGCAGTTTTGACATACTACTACAGGACGCATAGTGTTTCAGAGTTTCTCAGTCTCACTATTTTAAGGAATGATAGAATCTTTGACTAATGACGTTTCGCTTAGTGGCCTCTTGAACGTACACCATCTGAAATGACCACAGTTTATGCAAGCGCTCAGAAAGACTATAAAGACACAATAGAAAGGAAAAACAAAAAAAAACTGCACAAAGAAGCGATCGCCCTTGGTCCAGGCGCAGACAGTTGCGCGCTCGAGTACCACATTCCTTCTCGTGCGATGCGCGCGCGGAGCTTCATCTCGTGGTTTCCTGCGACCGACGCCAGCTGATACAGCCTTTAGAAAAGACATATTATATTAGACCAGTGCCATGTACATGTGGAAGTGCAACGGCGAAGCCCTGTTTCACAGTTGCTGCTTAACTGGATTTGTTCTTGTTTTCTTTGCAGAAAGCGCACCGATGAATTACAAACGTTTGCGTTTGTAATTTTTAAATAAACGTTAATTAACGTTTAATTAACGTTTCCATAAATTGTTGCACACTTTATAACCCTTTCAGAAGTGATTTTCTTTGACTGTGAATAAATGATGATAAAAAGTTTAAGAAACTGAAGAAAGCATTTATCAGAGCTGGTATGACTATTTTGCTAACGAAATACTTTACGCTACAAGTTTGCAAATCTAGTTGCCTGCAAAATATAAAGGTAGAAAGAGGGAGGTTCGGAAGAAACAAAGGCACTTGTCTCAGTATCAACGTTGCCATTATTATGCACTTTTAGGTCTTATGTACCTAAAAAACCACAGAATGCTGATAACATTTTTTTAAGCACCGTTAATGACCATTACCCATATCCGAAGACTGATTAGCAACAATTCAATTGCGGTACAAGAATGGAATGAAAAGTAAAACAAAGACGATGAAAATCGGTACGTGTCGTCGCGAGCAAACAGCGAACGCTGGAATCGTTGTTCAGAAGTGATTCCAAAGCCTGATGAGCATTCACAATTTTAGAGAAAGGGATTAGGTTTGCATTGCAATTACATTCTCGTGAACGTGTTGCAATTGGTCAATGTTAAGAACTCCAAGTTTGCCATGCGCGACTGAACATTCGCATAACGAGCAGAAAGCGGTGTCTGAAACGTTGCTTTAAAGGAAGTAATGCGACAAATCTTCAACCCAATATTTTTCGCTTATTTGAAGATATTGGGGGCGGTACGTATCAATCGCCCGTCTGGGTAAGTTACTCGGGCAGGTAGTTTCCGCTTCATAGCTCGTTGCTCTGTGGATCTGTGTTATTCCTTATTTGTTCATCTTTTGGATGCTCTACTACCCTAATATTGTAGCACAATGAGTAGCAGCACTTTGCTGTATAAGCTAAGATAACTCGTTACTTGTATGGTCCCGATCTCCCACTGATCACGCTCATTTTCAAGTTATTTGTATCCGCAAACTTGATGAAAACGTCACAGAGTTTTGCTGTCGATTTATTACGCCAGTGCTACGCATGTTGTGAAAGAAATAAGTGAAAAATCAAGCTGACAAAATTCAATGAACCTGTGCTCGCGAGTTGGGCTTTATCGAAAAACTGAAAACTTGCACATTTACTCTGTGCTATCTAAAAACATGCGTAGCACTGTCATAGATTGACAGCAAAAGTGTGTGAGTTTTCATTGATTCTGCGGATATAAATAACTTTGAAAATGAGCGTGATCGGTAGAATATCCGTTCGGGATCATACAAATAACGAATTATCTCAGCTTATACGAGAAAGTGTTGCTATTCATTGCGCTACAATATTAGCGTATGAGTCTCCAAAATGTGAGTGACAAGCAAGGTCCCGGAGCACCGAGCTATGAAGCAGAAACTACTCGTCCATTATACTTTGGACCGAATCGAATGATTATTCGATTATTCGAATAAATCATTCGAATGCGAATGATTCGAAAATTCGAATATTCGAAAATCTGAGATTTCGAATAATATTCGATAGTCGAATATTCGAAAATTTTCATTTTCGAATATTATTCGAAAGTCGAATACTCGAAATTCTCAACTTTCGAATATTATTCGATAGTCGAATATTCGATGGTCATTAATTCGATCATTCGATGTCCATGGAATATTCGAATATTCGATGAGCACCGAATATTCGAAAACTCGATAAGAATTGACTATTCGAAAATTCGAAGCATCGAATATTCGGAAATTCGATATTCACAACATATACGGGGTGTCCCAAGGGTAAGTACAAACTGTTTAATCGCTAATACCTCTCACGAAGTCTTTTGCCAACCTTTAAGTAACATCCTGTAGGGATGGCTTCAGCTTAAAAATACAGCAGAAAACAAATCACCTATGTTTTTCCTGTTGTGTTATCACGGTATGAACTTAGCATATAGAGCAACTGCGAAATGAGACATCCAAAAGAGTTTCCCCAGCAAAAAAGAGATTCAAATCTATATAGCAGGATTTTACGTATGTTTAACTATGCACGGGCTATCAAGCCTTCTAAATGTGCATTCTCTTTTTTGAAAAGCGTTGAAAAACATCTGTTATGGTGTACCTGGCATAAGTTGCAAAAGGCGTTACGGAGTGCAAATTCTTTGTATAGTGAGTGTCTTTAGAAGCCTAGTGTAAGATCGGCCTTTTTGTTTCTCATTCTTACGGCTCTTGATATCTCAAAACCCTCCTCAGTTTTCCTACGGTAATTTACAACAGTGTGAAAAGCGAACGATACATCGCTTTATACTGTAAGTCTAGGTTGATGTCAGCCCACGGATTCACATACTGTTGGGACCCCTGTACCTATGTCAGTCCACAACTCTCAATGAGGATAAATAATCTTCTTTGATTTTTGAAATTCCCTTACAACCGTCAAGTACGCTTTTAGGTTCTTAAAGGCAGCGTCCCAAAAGATGGGTCCGGGAATTTGTGGCGATGTTAAATTGACCCCCTACCTATGCGGCGACGAAGTTCGGAGCGAAAAAGAGGGTCTGGTAAGCTTGAAAATTGCTCCCAAAGTGGCCCGTCTTACGGCAGGCCCGAATGCCGCCCGTACAGCGGATTCGAACTGCAAGGCCAGAGAACGCATAGCGCACACAGCCATGAGTGCAGGGTCCCGCAACGACTCTGCGTCTCTACCCTGCATGCATCTCGTGCTCACGAGCCTACCGTAAGATCCGGGCCACTTATGGGGCAAATTTTAGGCCTGGTAGCCCCTTTTTCGCTCCGAACATCAGTCATCGCTTAGGTGGGGGGACTACTTTAACATCACCACAATCCGGCACCCACCTTCTTGCCGCGGCTGCAACTGAACCGTTTTTTCGTTGTAAATTGAAACATAAAAAAATGTCTATACCTGAAAAAATTTATTCTGAGATGGTTTGGTCTCTCACAGGTAGTCTCACTGACATAATTTATTCGCATAGTATTCGAAAATCGAATGATATTCGAAAATCGAATATTATTCGAGAACCGAATAATATTCGAAATTCGAATATCGAATGGTATTCGATATTCGAATATTATTCGATTCGAAAACTTCCATTTTCGAATAATATTCGATAGTCGAATATTCGAAAACTTCGATTTTCGAATAAAATTCGATAGTCGAATATTCGAAGTTTTCAATTTTCGAATAATATTCGATAGTCGAATATTCGAGAATTTCGATTTTCGAATATTATTCGATATTCGAATATTCGAAAAAAATTTCGAATTTCCCAAAGTATATCGTCCATGTAACTTACCCGCACAGGCGATTGATACCTACCGCCTCGGATGCGCTGTTCTCAAATTAGCACCTTGAAGAGCTCGAAAAGGGCTAAAGCAAGCATTTGATGCCCTTCAATCTGACTTTGACGACTGAGTGGGGGAACGAACGCCGCCAGTTTGGGCCGCCTCCGCGGACTACTTGTCGTCCCGAAACGACATGCAACAACATTGCAAAAGGACCAGTTGGCCGCGAAACGCGTCTCAAACTGGAGGCTTTTGTTCCCCTACCCTGACGTGAGGAACAGTCCTCGCCGAGGTCACAGACGCAGAGTCGTTGCGGGACCCTTATGCTTATAACATAGAGGCGCGCGGCCTCCAACGGTGGGAGGGGAATCGCGAGCTTGCCCGAACGCGTGCAATGCTAGCTTGCGCGAAACTCGGTAGTGAGAGCAAATTGTGCAACCTGACTTGCTCTTATCATATTTCATGCGTGAAGAACCTACAATATCAAAATTCAGGGTAGGGGATTATATGTCGTTGATAGGCTCCAGTCCGCACAGACATCTACAAATCTGTAATGTCTGTAATGCGTGTACCTGCGGGCTTTGCTGCAGGTCGCATGGAGCCACCCCTTTTCGGCAACGTCTTCCACACATATCTTCAAGATGTTCAAGTCTGCCAGCCACCGCGTTCAACTACCGCTGTTGTAGAATGCTCGCTGGCAGTTTGGCTATCAGCAAGATCCTCCACTTTCAGTTTTGGATGTGTGCTTCTTTGAATAGCTCTTGCAAGTAAAAAACTTGTTGTTTGTCTCTTGTTGTCAAAGCCTTATTCAAAGTGCTAGTAGTTGTGGTAAATCGTTGCAGTATGGAACCATGCTCCCACCAAATCGCTCAGATTTGCCCTGCATAAGGCTTAATTCCATGACGTTTGAGCATTCGTGCTCGCACAAAAGGATTATAGTAAGAAAGTGTAGTTTCAAGTAAGCTTGTTGCAAGACTCAAATTGATGACCAAGGTCAGGCAAGAATTCCGCCAAGCAATTATGATTCCCCTCCAATTTTTCGAAGAAGAACCTCTGCCGTGAGATTTGAAAGGAAACACTTCGGCTGCCTTCGCTTTTTTTTACCTCTGCTTTAGCGGTCACCCATTATGGCAGAAACATACAAGTGTAGGCAACGAAATAAACCACACCTGCTAAGACATTTCAGATTCAGGGTCAAGCGTGGGGTGTGGCACGCCACACCTGGGGGTCGTATTGAGGAGTCAAAAGGGGAGGGGTCGTAGTTGGGTGATCTGATAATAGTGATAACATGGTATTCGTATCATATCCATAATTGGCATGTCTATTCCCTGCAGACAATGTTTGAGCGAATTCTGAAGATTCAAGATACTAGACCTAAGTGAAATGCATATTCCAACATGGTTAACTTTGTTTCAAAGGTGAATTAGCTATCCGTTTTTGCACTCAAGACAAAGCACGGCGTGGCAGCCACAGCTTTTTAGGGTGGTGCGCCACACCCCAATAACTATGTCATAAAATTTTTTTTAGCAAACCGTATTTATATGGATCGATAGCCTAGATCTCCTAGTTTTCACAAGAGTGATTTGGGCCTGGTTCGTCTTCTTAGCTGAGTAATATTTGGTAAAAGCACAGCCATTAAAAGCGAAAAATGGGAAAAACGTGCTTTTGGATGACCTCTAATTTCACAGTTTGGAGGTCTTTTGAAGCAGGATTTTTGGGGTGGACAAAGAAGGAATAGTGCTTTGTCTTGAGTGCAAAAACTAGCTAATTCACCTTTGAAACAAAGTTAAACATGTTGGAAAATGACCATTTCACTTAGGTAGCCTAGTATTTGAATCTTCAGAATTCGCTCAAACTTTGTCTACAGGGGTTAACTGACATGCTCATTATGGATACTTTGCCCTTTATGTTTGACAGGGCCTTCACGTAATGCTATCTTAGGTATATAATCCAGGGGGAGGGCCTTATTAAGACAGCAATCAGGGGGGGGGGGAGGGTCGTAACAAGCGATCGTGTGCCACACCCCTTGCTTGACCCTGTTCAGATCGCATACAGATCAAGATGGCTAGAGTCTACGACGAATTCGAATAAAAAACCGATGTCTTTAAATTGAATGAAGGTTGGTAAAGTTTGCACAATGTGTAGGCACAACTTCGATAGTGCTACGCAGCCCTTACCTTTCTCTAGAATGGATTTTGAGAGATTGGGGTAATCATTGTTCTGCTTTGTAGATTGGTAGTTGTCATGTTATCTTGCCTTGATAGTGGTGTTCGCTGGAGATCCGCGATGGTAATATTGCGGCGCAAGTTATCATCTTCGGAGATGGATGCAATGGATAAGGGCAGAACAAACAGGATTATGCTCGAGAGTGCAAAATTTACAGCTCAAAGGCACCGTCCACCCAGATTCTGGACTTCCATGTTTTGATCGTTTCTTCTCGGCCTTCTCATGTCCCTGATTTCGAACATGAAGTCGAGAGTCCGCAAAAACTCCAACAATCTAGCTTTCGGAAAACCGGCCGGCTTTCCAAAACGGTGATTGGCTGGACGCGCCAGGATGGGAGGGCATGGACGGGGAGGACGGTGCCGTCTTGGAGTCCTCGTGCATCTTCTTCCGGAGCGATATACTCGCTTCCAAAGCGAAATTTTGCGCCGTGACTTGGGCATTGGCTTGATAAGGGGCCCTACTATGATATGCTGCCAAAAGCTCAAGACTCTCAACCTAGGGTGGACGGTGCCTTTGAGTGGAAGGGGTGTGTTGAAAGCTGATAGCCTTTCGAAAAGAATAAGAAAATGATGCGCAGAAAAAACTAAAGAGCCCAAGAAAAAAAATAAAAATAAAAGTTTCGGTGTTTCTGTCAAGACAATAGTTGTTGAGACCCTCAGTTGCTTAAAATCTTTTTCTTAAAAAGAAAAGTGACCACATGACATAAAGCATCCTCTGTTTTCACAATAGACTGCAAATTCTCGGTTAACATTTAATAAGCAGAATCTGTCATAACTTATTTTGACTGTACAGTGAAATTTCATTTCATAAACTATTGAATACACTGTGTCTTCGAAAAGCGAACTGATGCCAATAAAATTCGATAATTCTTCGTGCACAACAGCTTACAAGTACAGGGTGTCAACGGTTAAACAAACTTCGTTTGATGCTCTCTACCGACCTCGCATTCTGGAAGTAAGACTGCTAGTAAAACGGAGTACCATTGAAGAGCTTACTCTTTGGAATAGGCTGTCATTCCAACTTCGGAACATGTCCTTAAAAGTATCCGGTTCGCTCCCTTGCTGAACTTTGATGATTTCAAACCGGATATGACGCCAAAGTGCGTTTTGTTGTATGTACGCCTACAAAGTGCAGATGAACAAACCAACTCAACTCAAGCTAAGACTACTTTTGCAGTATTTGTTGCTTCTGCTTTCTCTTGAACACTCGCGCCTTTGCCAATCCAAACATAGATTTTATCGTAGGCATCTAGTATCATAACATCGTCTCCGTCAAGACTCTAAGAACATTCCACGTTGTTTTGTTTGCGAATAATGAGGCACACATGAGTAAATTACCTCTTGATTAAAGTTCACAATCTCTTCGACTAATAGTCTTCCGCTTTTATCGCACAGTTGGAACAATCGAGGCACGAAGGAAGCTCTTCCATAGTTCCAATTTCCAAACCTCAAAAGATATGCATTTTGATTTGACTGAAAAGCTCAAAGGTTTCTACACTCTAGTGAGTTTGTAATAGCAGTGGTTATTGTGCGTTATGAGCTTTACGTATCCCTGACGTATGTGCACCGCCTTTACCACCAACTTTTGTATCTCCCTTGCTGAAGGCATTGTTTAAAGAGATCCTCAAATAATTTTTCGCAATCTCTGCTACATGTAATCGTGGGGAACTTGAGGCTGCGCCAACTCGCAAGGCCCTCAAACCGGCATTTATCTAAACGCAACAGCATGTGCTACCAAGCTGATTTGCGAATCTCACGTTTCCTCTTAGAAAAAAACCAAAGTCGTACAGTTTCTATCTACCTAGACAATGCCTTTAAGCACCGTGTGGGTTGTGTGACTTACGTTTCCCGGATATTTACGAAGTTTTAGAAAAGAAAAACCCATAACTTCTGTAGATGAATACCACGCCATGATGGTTACCACTGGAACCGTCTTGTCCTCTGCTTTCACGGAATATGTCAGTTGCTTGGAGTCTGTTGAAAAAAGTGCCTGGTGAAAGGTGCGGATAGTGATTTGGATATTCACGAGTTTATAAGATAAAAAATTCATAACTTCTGCAGATGAACATCTTGTACGCCGTGATGGTCACCAGCGGAACCGTCTCTCGTCCCCCACTTTCAGAAAATATACATTTTGCCTAAGGTCCGTTGAAATGCACCTGGTGAAGGGTGGATGAGACTCTAATAATGGAAATTTTCGAGTAGACGTCATTTTGCAATCGTAAAAAAGTCTCCACCTGGGAACTCCCATTATAACAGTCTCTCCCACCCTTCACCAGGCACCTTTTTGACGGATCGCAGGCAGAATATATATTTTCTGAAAGCGAAGGACGAGACGGTTCCAATGGTGACCATCTAGGCGCAGAAGATGTTCATCTACAAACTTTATGAATTTTATTATGTTAAATCTCGAAAATCTCCAGAAATCACTACCCACACCCTTCATCCGATGGCGTACCCAGGTTTTCCGTTCGGTAGGGGGGGGGGGGGAGGGGGGAGGGAACAAAAATTTTTTCGGATAAAGGTGCGTGGCGTTAACCAAGCACTCCCAAAACTCCTTTTTGGGATGCTTCTCAAAATTTTTCCGGGCCCCTGACCCCAAAATTTCAGAAAAAGCCCGAAATAAATTCTTATAGAAGGTAATTTGAATTTTTAAATTTTAAAAATTATTTTAAATATTTACAAGTAAAAACAAGTCTTCTGCGCATTTTGGTAGCACACTTAAGTAACATTCAAACTTTTTTCATTAGATTCCAGACAAGTTATATATACTATGAAAGCGGAGGACAAGACGGTTTCAATGGTGAACATACCTTCGATACATAGAGCCACATACTCTGGTAACTTTCACTTTGAGGGCTATGAGGGGACACAACCTTCACCTGGGAAAAAAACAGAAGTCATCCGGGGCGAAGCCCCGGATGTTATTATCCTGACTTTATCGGAAGAATGTGATGAACTAAATATAGGGAAGAATATCTGAAGAATGTCTCAGCAAAGCCGAGAAATTGCTTTTTTGAAGCCTTTTTTTACGCTGAAAAGAGAATTTCTGTGAAAATTTCCTCAGAATTCAGGACAACGTTCCTCAGTTAACCTCTTACTTGACCAAAAATGAGTTTCAAAAGTTTGAAAAGCTGTTGGAGTTGAATTAAAATGAGAAACTGCGCTTAATTGTATGCAGAGAGTCGCGCACGGAAATGCTGGTCTATCTCGTTAGTAAGTGATTTTTAAAGCTTGGGACGTTGTCAGCTCTCCTCGTCGTGTCATGACGGTCAGAATGATATACAATATTACAGGGTTTCGTTGAGACCCCGACGAGATCTACGACCAGAGCCAAATGCCCCGTCGGCTCTGGTCTGTCTCCGCTGCTCGTCTGCGTCTCCGCGCGCTGTGCGCTACCTCGCTACCCCAAACACGGGGCGCGGGGCATTTGGCTCTGGTACCCTTTTCTTCGCTGTTTCGAACCCAATTTTAGCAAGCTATATATCATTTTGAAGCTCTTGATCTATATTTTCACGCTGACAACGTCCCAAAATCACATTTCTTGATTTGAACGAGAAATCCGGCAAAAACCTTGTTTTCGAAAATCTCTTGTTTTTCTTCTGGTTTACCTCTTTTTACCCCGTTTTTTCGTGCATTCTATAGATCTTGCTTCTGTTCGTAATGCAGACAACCACCCAGCCTTTATCTCTTCGATTATTGTGGATTTTTTTGCGAAAAATCGTAAAAAGTGCGTTTTTCTTTACCTTGTTCTGTTTCAGTGCTTTCGCATCGATTTTTTTCCAGTTTGGGCGATTGTTCCTCAGAACAATAAGCGCAACAATCCAGACAACGTCCCAGGAAACAGGAACGTCAGTGCGGGGGTAAAAATTCAAAGGACGCATCAAAAATCAAAACCCCGTGTTGCGAATTGCTGGTCCTGGAGCGAAAACTTGCACTTTGAAAAGCCGCCAAATGAAAGATTACAAGCCTCATTGCAGCTTTTTATCCTATTTTCAGCGTTTCTTTTGCTTTTTGTATCTGTTTTATGTCATTTTCTCTTCTCTGATCATCTTTAAACAACCTTCACTATTTATGACGTCAGATGTTCAAACAACCTTCACTTTTGACGCCCTGTCTCTAGACTATCGAAGGTATGATGGTGAATATCATGGCGTACAAGATGTTCATCTACAGGAACTCTCAATTTTGTTTTGAAAACTCATGAGGACCCAGAAGTCACTTACTACACCTTTCACCAGCACTTTTATGAAAGAACACTGAGCAAACACATTTTTTGAAGGTGGAGAAAAACATTGTTCTAAGGACACCATCCTTACTGACCTTGGTGTTCATCTACGAATGTTTTGATTTTTCCTTCTCCTTGAAGTTAGTGAATACTCAAAAGTCCTCCTCCTCTTCGATACACAAAGAATTTTAAGGAATAGCTTTTATGCTTTTTCTGAAATCCACACTCTTTCTTCGTGCTTCATCGTTGAAAAATCCTATCCTGATACTTGCTATCCGCACACTTTCCAGAACCATGTTTCATCCATGTTACAACTTATTCATATATAAATTTTCCATAGTCTAAGATAGTTGCACTCGTCATATTGCCCCGAATATCTTCATGGAATCATAGGGTATGAAACTTTGAGAGAAGGATATAAACTAGTGCCTTAATCTGTGTCACATATTAGCATGAAGCAAGAGCAAAGAGTTAAACCGTCCTCGTACTGCTCCGAGCTCTAAGCCTGCAAAAACCTCAGACAAAGACTGGTTTATCGTTCAAGAAATGTTCATAAAGCCGTCCTTGGACATAAATGGAGGAATGGCAGCCACATTTCCTTGGTGCAGTTCTTGATCGTAGAGCAGGCAAGAAAGTTAACAGCTGTGGCGGTTTTATCAGGTATAACTTTAGCTCATGATTGATTTTTTCGACATTTGGTGAAGGAGGTCATTGTAGTCTCGGCTCAGGGGTAGGGGCGGGGGGGGGGGGGTGAGCAAATTTTCATACTGTCGTACCTATGTTAGTTACACGAACCCTGCGTGCGTGCCAAAACAAATGCTCAGCGATGCTAATTTTTTTTCCTGACCAAACACGCAGTCTTAAAGGCAGTGTCTCACCAAAATTTAGTTGCCGAGATTTTTGCATTTTGCAAGCCTGTCGGACCCTGCCTAGCACTATATGGGCTTAAAATCGCACGAAGTTCCCAAAAACCCCGTTTTCTGGAGGCCCCGTGGAAGCAACATGGACGAATTGTACCTTCCAACTTCAGCCTCAGCCACAGTGGCAGCAACAGAGGGGGGGGGTGGATGCCAAGTGGAGGGACATGTTCAAACGCGTACGGGGGGAGACCAAGGAGTCGTCCGCGCGTACCAACTCGCTCTCCGCGTACCACTTTGAGCGATTTTTTCTCAGCGTGGAGAGGGTCAAATTAAGTGGGACCTGTTGCATTGGCCTATTTAAAGCTCCCTATTACAGAATATGTGAAGATCCGCGCGACCTCAACTTTGGTGAGACACTGCCTTTAAATGCTTGCACATACGTGTGAGTACTAAACCATCAGAAAAACGAGTGGAAGAGTAAGAAGTAATAGAGAGTAATGAAGTCAAGAGCATTATTATCCAAGAAGAAAACGCTGCTCTGAACTGCATCGGGTTCAACGTGGAGGCCTCAGATTCTGTTGACGTAACTACAAACAATTTTTATTCAAAAAGTTGCAACTTGGAGAGAAAAAAAAGCTCGTCTGAGATGCTCCTATGAATTGCGAACTCCTGGTAATTTGTAATCGGCACAAATTCATTTCTAAGATTGATAATGAGTTTCATTTTATTTTTTTAAAACGCTTTTGGCTATGCTCTCACTAAGACCAATAGTTTCTCGAATTTTTTCCCGAAAAAGTCGAAACTCTCGTAAAGGTTTTGAATTATAATCACATCGTACGACTTAGCTAAGTAGCTTAACTCTTGACACAAGAGAGCCTATCCCTTAGGCGCTGCCGTCTACACACAATCTATCTGAGCTATTAACGATCTCTAGAATGATCCTCAATTTCGTAAAAACCTCATTTTGCTGTCGGAACAAAGTTCCACAATTAATAGGTTGCTACATAAGTCTTGTTACACTCTAACTTCTTACGGCGATAAGTCATGCACATCATATTCTTTACAGGGCTCCAGGGTACCATTGGATAGAGCAAAGCAAGCTCTACAAGATGGTGTGCAAAAGTTCCCACCAATTTCGACTCACTATAAGTTTGCATCCAAAATCTGAGTCGTACTGAAGACCCAAAAAATCGCGAAAAATTCATATCTTTGTTCAAAAAAATCCTGCGAATCTCCAGCTTGCTGAGAGCTTGCTGAGCAAGCTGGAGATTCGTAGGGGTTTTTTTGAACAAAGATATAAATTTTTCGCGATTTTTTGGGTCTTTCGTACGACTCAGATTTTGGATGCAAACTTGCAGTGGGTCGAAGTTGGTGCCAACATTTGCATACTGTTCTGTAAAGTTTGCTTTACTCTATCGAATGGTACCCTTTTGCCCTGTCAAGAATATGAGGTGCATATGAGGTGACTGAAAATATGAGGTGACTTATCGCCGTAAGAAGTTAGAGTGTAACATGACTTATGTAACAACGTAATACAATGAACCTTTGGATTACACTTGATTTTCCGAAGAAAGTTCTTGAACAGCGTAATTCATGTACTGTGGGTTCTCCTGAGAACAACACGACTTGATTCTTTTGGGCCTCAAACAACGCAATATTTTGCTTGTACGCTGCAAGTTGCTTAGTTATTTTTCAATTGCGCTTTGTGTGAGGTAGGATGAGTTTGAGTGATGAGTTTGCACTAACTTAAAAAAGCACACTTATATTATAATCTTGCAAACGAGACTATGAGAACTTACCACTGCGTGAATGATGGAGGCTCGTCGCCTTCTCTGATGCAAGTAAGATGAGTCCAAGCTGGTAAGTTCTTCAATAATTGTTATGAGCTGCATCAACGTTATATTAGTCACCTTTTGTTTAATGTACGTCTCGCCGAAGGACAAAGCCTTGCGACGTTCGTTGAGCGTACATCCTTTGCCAACCCAAACAAAAATGGTGGAGAGGGCGTCAAGAACGAATGCGTCCTAGAAAGTCAACATTGCTCTGACAAGTTAGACTACGTTCGGGAAAAGTTCAATATCTTCATTTTTATCAGCAGAAGAATGTTGCAAGTAAACACACCTTGGTATCTAGCTGGCTTTGTGTAACCTCACCTTCCGATACTTTTTTGATCTCCGTTCTTCCTGACGCATCGGATACTCTAAAAATAGAAAATGCACGAAGTAAATCTCGACGCAATTGCAACCACAGGGCCAAAAATACACCTATACAATGCGATTTTGCGAGTAGCTCTCTGCCAGTAATTCACGTCGTCGTCTTTGGCTCTAGCAATGTTCCTCACTTGCCCAACTCCTCCAAAATAAGACCAGAACGTCTCATCTGTGTCCCAGTCAACATCTGCATAAAGGATGAAGTGCATGAACGCCCAAGTTTCACCAATATTAATTACGATTTTTCTCTTACCCAGCACGTTGACATGGGTTTTGTAGTGGCGTTCCACTTGAGCGATATAGCTACCAAGTTCCATACCCTAAATTTCTTGATAACGTTTTTCCTCACCAATGTACAAAACTCCAGGAGCACCTTGATTCTCTCTAAGCGACCGCTTTCTGGAGGCATCCAGACATAGAGCTCCTTCCCAGCGTCCAGAATGAACACGTCTCCAAGATTCAGCGAATCAGCTCGGCAATCTACCTGAATTATTTTCAAAGCTTAGCCAAAGTGCAGCGGCGGCCATATTTTATCAAACCAAGCATAATCTTAGATGCAAATTTCAGGCGCACAGTCTACACACTGACTCCAACATTTCGGTCTGTGTAAACCCCCCTCGAGTCGTGATGATACGCTCGGAGCGCGGCAAATGCCCGGTAAATGCCTTTTTGCTGCCGTCCCATGATAAGGGATAGGCGACGTGAATGAGGCATATGGCCGGCGTAACGCAGCGGCAACGCCGCCGGCACGACAAGGCAGCACCAGCGTGCCCTTCATGCAGACAATCGGGAAATAGTAGATTTTGATGGGAGACGCAAAGAGGTCGTGATGCAGACATTTGACTAGCGAGCGAGTACGTCCGGAGTGGTGGTACCGCGCTGTCCGCAAATGCACGCAAAGAATCAAAATGCATGTCAAATCCAATCATTATGAACAGGTGATAGCGCACATTCGCGAAGAGCACAGCTAATCTTATTCAATTTCCTACTATTATTTATTTTTTCTGCTTTTGGCTTCGGAACTTAGACAAAGTAAGTCAGTTTTGATTAGCATGCATCTTCGGGTCCTCTTCACCCGAATTTGCTGCTCTTAAGCGGCTTTTAGCTTCGATAGTTGTTTTGCAGCCAGTTTGGTCCAGTTGTTTTTTGGGATGCCTTAATTTTGCAATTTCTTGCAAATTATCCATTTTTCACTAGAACCTTTGTCTGTTTTTTTTTTGCTTTTCACTAGCTGTGAACCTTTCTTTCCTTTCATTCGAGTAGGAAACGATTTGGTGCCGTGGCTAAGTAGCATGAACTAGTACAAATCGAGTAGTAAAAGTCTTATAATTTTGCAAATTTTCAACGTATCTCAAATATAGCGTTTGGACGCTAATTTACGTCCAAAAACTAAGTTCCTCATTATCACTAGAAAACTTGGCATGTGTTTTTTCATATCGCTTTGCAAAAGACTTGCCTTACTTGTGACTTGTGCTCCAGACGTCCAGCTCAATAGCGCGACGCAGGCATTGCGCCAGTCGTGTCTTTAGTTCCAAACATTCGAAGCCTAGTGTTAGCAATCACAAAGTGATAGCTGTATTTATACTCATAGGCGAAAATCGGCTACAATGAGGCTGCTTACTATTAGTTGTCCCAAAAGTAAACCGTATTTTCACATAAATCAAACTATTTTTGTTTTCCTGGCGGACTTGGGGTACCATTCGATAGAGCGAAGCAAGCTCTGCAAAACGAACACCAAGGGTCCGCCTAAGTCGCATTCCATGTAAAGTTTGAAGCCAAAATCGAAAAAAAAATTTTACCTGAAAATTGGATTTTCGCGAGGAGAAATCCTACGGACCTCCAACTGGTCATTATACAGTAGGCACATGTAGTACTCAAGCTTTTGCCGAATTTTTTCCGAGCATAAAAAGCGAGAAACAAAAATTGCTCAAAAATGGCAAACTCCGCCCCCAGCCCCTCCCACATATGCCATTGTATACTACAAGCCTTACTAAGTACAATTTCAAAACCTTACCCCTGTCTGTGCTCTTATAATGGAGAAATACCAAGTCTTACATAAAAAAACCCGAAAAAAGTGGCATTTTGGCATTTTGGGACCCCCTTTGTTTCTCAATTTTGAACTTCAAAAGAAATCAAGCAAAATTATTTTTCGATACTACTATGTGTCTACTATATAAGGACCAAGTTGAAAGTCCGTAGGAATTTTTCTGGAAGGAGATCCGATTTTTAGGGTAGCTGAAAAATTTTGATTTTTGGATCCAAATTTTATCTGGATAGCAACTTAGACGGTTCTTTGGCGGTCGTTTTGTAGAGCTTGCTTCGCTCTATCGAATGGTGCCCCCAAGTCTGCCAGAAAAACAAAAGCAGTTTGATTTATGCAAAAATACGGTTTACTTTTGGGACAACCTAATAATTTCAACATATTAGCTTGAGGGCTTATCTATCAACATTATGTACCTTATTATCACTAAAAAAATACCTTATTATCACTCTCTCTTGCTCAGACTTCTAATAGAAACACAGTCTACAGCGCAGTGGCTGCGCGCTTCTCAATGCTGTCTTGCGAGTTGACGACGGCTGATTGCAAAGCTTTTTGCGGCGGGCGGCCAGCGCCCGTGCTCAAGTTGTGACTCATTTTGGGCGGTCATGACCGCATTTTCTTTGAGTTGTGACGGCTTTGGGGGATTACTAATGGCCTTTGTTTCTATTTGAGTAGTGCTCCTTTACTCGCTAACCTGAAACTCTAAGAAGTTGAATTGGTTTCTTCGCGTGACGCCTTCCCGATCTAGGTCACATGTTTAACGAGCTTGTCACTATTTTATTAAGCTGGCAGTTCTTGCAAGAAATTTTGGTACCTTCACATAGCAATCCCACAATCTCTATTTTGGTACCTAAAAATTTGTTTGCAAAAAATCTTTCTTGCTTCTGCCGCATAACAACATCCTTATATCATGCTAGATGCAACGATTTTCGAGAGGCAAATGGACTATGTGCACAGGTTAATACATTTCCAACCTTTTTTCGTCTTCTTTCAGTTTAGGTCTCTTTTTTGTGTTCTACATCAAACAATCACTACAAGTGTTCTACACTGTATTGAGGTTAGGATTCGTTCGCTAATCTTGGACAAGACGCACGGAGTGGACCAAACCCAGCCTCAGATAGAGTCTAGGCGTTAAGATGAGATGGTGAGAGTGCTATGCGAAAGTACAGGGGTCTTAGCCACTCCCCCGCCCATGTGCAAAAACAAAATGTAAAGGTGGAATAGAGAGAACCGATTCGGAAGTCAACGGAATTACGGCAAGCTTCAGTTAGCAGACATTCCCTCTCAGAGCGTGCTTGCCGCAGTATGACCATAAGGCCCGTAACATTTGGCGTCTTAAAACTTAACGTGCGTTGTAAGAATGCATTGGGAAATTGCCCGTTGCAGACATTCTCATGCTCTCCATATACGCAGTTGGCGTAAAATTACGGATAAGCAGGTAAACAAAAGTTTGGTTTCATGCCCAGCACCGCTTGCGGTCCCAATATTAACGCCATAGATATTCCCATAGAAGAAACCAACTGTTACCTGTGCGCAGCGAACGTTTCGTTTTCCTTTGCAGTGGAACAAACGCGGTTTGAATTTTTCAAAGATATCTTCAACATGTCGGAATCCGGAGTCATAGCCTCCTTGTAAATACCTATGTTTTCTCAATCAGATTCATCTAGCCTTAGCATCGCATTGTACCTGACTCCATGCGGGAAGTAGGAGAGAAACAAAGGCGTTTCATGCTTTTGTACTTCTCGGTGCTGAATTGGGTGACCACCCAAAGCATCATCTATTTTCACACTTGCCGCTGCCGCCGTGCCCACTTCGTCGACGGTTGCGCCCTCACCCAACCAAAAGTGTATATCATAAGTCTTTCGTTCAGTTGTCTGAAAACTGAGTATGAATGCATCAATTTTTGGAAGTCTATAATCTGGTAAAGTCGTTAGAATCTAGCCTTGCAAGGAAAAGCGAACAGCCCAATTCATACAAATCACAACATTATTTATTGATTTTATCAATTTTTCTCTAAAAAATTGCTCATTGCTTTGGTCAAGGTGACGATTTAGGCCCCGGACAGACTTCACGCGATTTGATCGTCGCGACTCAATCGCCGACATTTCCATTCATTTTCATTTCAAATTCAAAAATTTCGGGCTGGAAAAGTATCACAACCGAAATGCATGTTGGTCGGCATGGAATGATGTTGTAACAGTTGTCTCGTCGCGATTCAGTCGCGACGATCAAATCCCGTGAAGTCTGCCCAGGGCCTTACACGGGGCGAGTGCTGATAATGAAACGTAGCCAGTAACTGACAAATAGTTGTTGTACTCGTAACCAGCATGCTCACTTGTTCCCACCCTCTCGTATACCAACCCCGGCTGCGCATTTTTGAAAGTGGGAACCAAGAGACTGATGTGCAAAAATGGAAGTGAACGGCGACTTTCGTAATCAAGATATACGACAAGCTGTTGGGCCCGCTCTATAAGACAGAATTCGAGAACCATAAAAGTTCGACTTACATTCAAAACGACGTACGCATCTCCACTATAGAATTGCCCGTATGTGTTCCTTGGTACCGGTTCTAGATTGAAACTCTGAAAGAGGATCACTGCGTAGAAGACAGCTCAATGGTGGGTTCAATCTTTCAACTCGTCTTTTTCAATAATTGAACTTCACCAAAACGAAGTAAAAGTATTTCGTTTTTGTGAATAAAAAAAATTCTTGTATCTCTTAATAACGAAGAATTAACATTATGATACATTCGTGTGTAGAATCAGCGACTCTGATATCCTAGTATAAGCGTTTTTGCAAGTTCGCTTTCTAGGGGCAGCAATTTCTCAAGACCCTCTTCCTTCCTACCTTAATACTGCACTGTTCAAGAGAAATGGATTAAAGCTTCAAAGATCTAATTGAAATCGAGCACCACACAGCATTGGTGGTACCTACGTTAGCAAAAATCTTTGTGAAAGAGATATTAGTGCCAACCATACCTTCGATACTACAGAGATAGGGCTTCAAAAGTGAAGGTTGTTTGAGTATCTACCTCCCATAAAAAGTGAAAGATGTTTAAGGATATCAAAGAAGAAAAAAATGCAAAACAATTAACGAAAGCCAAAAACTCTTTAAAAACCTAGTGAAACGCCGCAACCATTTTGAAATATTTCGTTTGGTGGCATTTCGAATTGCAAGTTTTCGCTACAGGACCAAGCAGTTTGCAGCACCGGGGAAAACGAGAAAAAACTAGTTTCTTCTTTGTGATTGTTTGAACAAAAACATCTTGGAAGTGGTGCTTATCAAGAAGACAATAAACGAAAAACATTCAGTTATAAAAACGTAAAGTGTTGTTTTTTCCTAAGTCCAAATGCACGTTAGAGACAATATATTTTTGATGCGTCCTTTGAGTTTTTAGCCCCTTCTCGTAGTTTCTGCGTCTGGCGACTTGTTACCTTTGTTGTGCTCATGATCCTTAGCAAAATGGCCCCAAGCATGCAAGAGCTGATTTCTCACTAACTAGAAGGCCTATGAACAAAAACGCACTTTTGCAGCTTTGTGGTAGATATGTCACAACAATAGTAGAAGTTAGCTTTGCGACGTTGTCTACCTTATGGAAGAAACAAGATCTATGGAATGCACAAATAAGCCGCTTGAAATGAGCTAAATTGAAAAAACAAGGAATTTTCGAAAATACGGTTTTTCCAGATTTCTCGTTCAAATCGGAAAGTGGAGTTCCGCAACATTGTCTGCGTGAAAGTAGAGATCAAGAGCTTCAATACGATATACAGTTTGCTGGGATTAGATTGAATGCGAAGAAAAGGGTACCAGAGCCATGCCCAGCGCCCCGCATTGGGGGTAGCGAGGTAGCGCGCAACGCGCGGAGAGGCAGACGAGCAGCGGAGACAGACCAGAGCCGATGGGGCATTTGGCTCTGGTCGTAGATCTCGGCGGGGTCTCAACGAAACCCTGCAACATTATATATCCTTCTGATTGTTGTGACACGACGAGGAGAACTGACAATGTCGCGGATGTTGAAAATCACTCCATAACGAAATGAACTAGTATTTATGTGGGGATTCTCTGCGCAAGATTTAAGCGCAGGTTCTGTTTTCCATTGTACTCCAACAGCTTGCATAAAGTTCTAGCACTCAATCGTAGTCTATAAAAAGGCTATTTGAGAATTTTCGTCCTAATTTCTAGAGCTATCTTCGAGTAACCTTCTTTTCAGCAGAAAAAGCTACAAAAACGTAATCTTTTTGTTTTCTGAGCTTTTTTTTTTCAAGAATCAGTCACTAAACCTGCATCAACCACATAAACTTTTACATAGCTATGTCGTAAAATCCGGGGCTTCCCCTCGGATGATTTCTGTTCTTTACTCCAGGTGAAGCTTGTGTTTTGTTAAAGCTCAAAGTGAAGGCTACCAGAGTACATGGTTCTATGTATCGAAGGTATGGTGCCAATTTGAAATTGTGTATTCAGGCACTCGCAAAAGACTTCTGGGGGACAGCGCAATCTCTGGCATTTTCGGGGGCTCAACCATTGGGGCTGCCGCGTGGGGCGGGGCGTGGGGGTCCGCTCGCAGTGACGTCACAAAAAGCCGAGACACGAACTTCCGGGGCATGTGCCCCGGAATTACCAAAAATTTGCGAATTCACCGGGTATTTACAGGCGTACAGCACCTCCGGGGTAAAGTACGCCAACTCATCACGCTGATACTTAGCTTATAAATTTTCGAAGATAGGAATAAAAAATAAAAATTCTCATCTTGCTCAAATTGTTCTCATGTTCTTTTTCGCATTTTCGTGTTGTTCATCGGGTTTTTCGGTTTTATATTGCTTTAAGCTCTTCTTCATTCCAGGTTTAACGAGCGAATGTACTTCCAAACCATTACTTTTTGGTGTTCGGCTGCCTATTTTTTTGTAGAGGAATCTTTAAGTGTATGTCTATTGGCTGTCTATTGTAGAGCTTCTACTGTTACTTGGGCAATCATCTACTCCCTTCTACCAGTCGCTTATCACCTTCCAAAACTAGGGAATCAGTTGCCTTTACATTCTCTACGTCATTCGTATGGTATCGCTATTTTCCGTGTTGTCGTTGGTGTACGGTACTTGGGTGGATATCCCGAATTTGGAATTCAAAACTCTTCCTTGACGACTTATAGAACATGCTAATTTTGGATAACATGCTCTTTTTTGTTTCGGAACCTTTCTGCGGAAGCATCATAGTTCTTCTTTTTGTTTTTAACTTTTCGAACGCTAGTAATCATCACATGGGTCACAGAGGGTTGGCAGCGCTATTATATCGTAAACTCATCCCACCCAGGACCACTTAGTGACACCTTAGCTAAAGGTAGCGGCGTCTCCGTGCTGATTTTGATTGGTTATGGCCAACATCTACTCTCTCATACAGCAGTCGTTGGTTCTTACGCTCATCTTCAGCCTTTGTCGTACATTATGTCTTCGTTTCTCAGCTCTCACATATTATCTTTTTCCATTTCTCCTGCTGCGTCGCTCTTTGCAGGCATCAACAGGTGCAAAATGTACATACTCACCTCCAGGAACGTAAAACCTGAGGTCATTTTTTTGGTATTTATACGGGATTTATACGTATGGGATAGCACATACCATAAGTTTTTTAGCATTCTTGCTTTTGTGTGCGCTTAGTTTTCAACCTTTCGACAAGCTCCGTCCTTTGGTCATATCAGTCAGGGTGAGTGCCCCTTGAGTTTGTGTGTCTATGTAAGGTACCAAGTTGTCATCAGTGCCAAAGTCAACCTCCGTTCCTTGTTCTTGCATAACTTTTTAGTATCTCTTTGCGGAATTCTAAGAATATTACCTTTTTCTGAGTTTTGTTTTGCTAGTTTGTCCCTCGCAGAAGTCCGAGTTATCATTCCACACTCACCAAGTCAGCTCAAAGTCTACCCAAATCTTACAAATTTTTTCTTTGCTGTTTGTTCAGGTCACCATCACTTCCTTGTTTCCAACTGCTATCGTCAGACATCTATGCTATTCAACTTCGGATGATGAGGTTGTAGTGATGCCGTAAGTGCAACACATGCTTTAAGTCATGTTCGTAGTTTCTGAGAACTCATTCAAACCACTTACTCAATTCTTTTTCCTACTATTTCTTGCTTCCTATTCTTCAACATCTTTCGCAGCTCAAGCCCGGTGAGCCTGGTCGACTAAATGTCGAAGCATGGGTAATAGCTATATAACTCTGAATAAAACCCTGCGAAAACTTTTTGCTTCCATACTCCGATTTTCTAATGTTCTGATAGCGAAATTTTCTAATTAATCTTTCGCAATTCAAGCTCATACCTCTTTCACAATTTGCAATCGTGAGAAAACTAAATTTCATGAATTTTTGCAAAAACAGCAGAATATGGGGCAATGGTTTCGATAGAAATTGCAAGCCAACCCTACACAATTCATTGGTCAAAGTTTTGATGTTGGAAACGCAATTTCTCTTCCTATAGTGTTTTTCTTTTTTCTAGTTCTTACAGTTCAAACGAAGTTTTTATGTGAATTCGAGTCTTTTGCAGCTTACAAAATGTTTGAAAAATAGTGTTGCACCGAAGGGAAGCAAACGCAACGACTGTGACATTGCCATTGCTGAAGTTGTACATTTTATGTTTTGTACTGATGTAGAAACTTTGTATTCAAATTTTTGTATTCTCCCGTCCCTATTTTCTTAGTAGAGACTCAAAAGTGAAAAATCGTCTTGTTAGAAAATTAAAAGTAAAAATATCGTTTTTTCCTACATGAGAAGATCTTCCTTTCTTCGCCTTGTTAAACGCTATTTTGTTTTGCAATTTTCAATAATCTGTTTTGCATTTAATTTGCAATAAATGTCTCGTCTTTTTTATTCTGTAATTTGCTACCTACAAATGTTAAAGCTGTGGGGGTGGAGGTCGTGCTGGGGTGGGTCTTGCCCAGGGGGGGGGGGGGTGGTCGCGTACCACCCCGCTTGTTCGACCCTGGTTTGGAGCTCATTTGGTTGGGATAATTTAGGTTCATAATTGGGGTTTAGCTTTTAATTAGGGCTAGTTAAAGTATGCCAGGATAGGCTTTCGAGGACTTCCGGTGCACAAGTTCGGTAGGGCACGAGTTCTGTACCGCTCTGAGGAGAGCCGAGCGGTACCGGATGAATCCTGTCCGTTGTTTGAGTATGTTCGATGTCCAGCGTGAGACATTACCTTGTGAAGGTGGACGTAGCACTAACGAGTAGCCCTAACACAATGCGTGGTCTTATAGTAAAGACTCTGGACTGCACTCTTCTGAAGGAAGAATACCTGACTTAGCTCGGCCTTTTGGCCACAGACATATATGTTTTGAAATAGCTTTGAACGCTGATTACAAATATGCTATTTATAGCTGCCGAGCACCATTCCGAAGCGAATTATGGGCTTTTTCCTGCGCAAAATTGGCGTGTTATTGAACATGGGAAGACTGCGTGTAGGTAAAAATTCGCAAGAAGAAGGTGCTGATATATCAAATCAACACAAATCCAATCTTTTCTCACTAAAAAAAGCTTAACGCAAGTGTGTTAGCACTTAGATGATGATGTCGTGATGCCGGTGAGTCGATGAGTATGCCAATTTGGCGCAGAAAAAAGTCCATAACTTTGGAATGGTACTCAGCAGCTAGAACTAGCATATTTGGAATCAGCGCTTAAAGCTGATTCAGATTATATACGTCCTATGTCAAAAGGGCGAGCTAAGCTAGGTAGCTTCCCTTGTTAGTTAAGTGAAAGCGTCAAATTTGGTTTTGTGATACGCGAATTTTCGGCACTCTTAGGTGCTTTGAAGCAACAGGCTCCGCGCTTCAAAACCGTCGATGCGAAGGAGTCACCATAACGCGATTAGTTTTCAAAGCAATTTTCCCGCTCTGGAATGCATGTTCTAGGCATCCTCAAACCTAAGCATACCGCACGAGCTTCTTCAAATTAGAGGCAGCCTGTGGCGTACTCCTAACGGTCACAATTAGACGTGACTATATGCCAATGCCGCCGAAGCTTCGCGGTTGCACTAACTTTTTTTATTCTTGTTCGTGTTCTTTGGAGGTATTTGCGCTAGCAGTCTCTTTCCATGTGTTGCCCTTGTGTTAAGCGTGTATTAATGTCCTGCGTGCATATATGCAAGCACATATATTTGTGCAAGGTGTTTGAGTTTGTGCCCTCAAGTACTTCAACTGCAAATCCTAACTCACTTTTTGCTATATGTGTTCGCTAAACCTAGAAACCACTGGGTCAACAAAAAAAATTTTTTTTGCCTCAGGATACCTTAAAAAATTTGGAAGCAAACAAATTTTTCAGCTTCCATGAAGAGGGGAAAAAGTGCGTTATCTGAGTTGTTCCACTTTTTTTCAACGCAGGAAAACGGAGGCAACTTTCGTTTTCTTTCCGTTTTTTTACTATAAATAGTCCTAAGTTTACACTTTCTTCAAATAACAAAACTTTCTCAGCAGCTTGCGAACCAAAATTTCTTCATGTGCTGATTCAATCGCAACACAAAGTTGCGTTGAAATTTTTTCGGTTCAAAAATCTTGGAATCTTATTTCAACATGTATTTGTAGCGCAGCTCTCTAATCTTCACTGTAGTAATTTTCAAAAATTTTGCACGCTTGTGAAGGTTTAAAATTTCGGTGCTGGATTTGTTGTCAAAAAAATCCTGAAATTGGATCTCTTGTATTTCGAGGCATGATATTTCAAAACGAACTTATTTCTACTAGAAGCACATGTAAGATACCTCAAAGAAAGGAGTTTTAGAAGGTGTACCTAGTTTTCAAGTTTCCTTCTTTGTGACAAGCGTTTCGAAGAAAGTGGTTTGGAAAGCTATATTGACGTTTTTCTCTAATAAAAAATTTGAAAAACCACAAAAAAACCTGGTTTCAACTGAAATAATGGTATTTAGGCCTGATGAGCACAATAAAACAAAAAGCGAGTAAAAATTCGACTTAAAGTATTTTAGGCCACTTCACTTTCCAAACCCAGTATATTTCTATATGCAAGAGGATAACATAAGTTCATGCACAGTATGCATGAACTTGGGAAGGGGGTGGGAATTTACTTTGAACTTCGCCCACTTTCTTTCCCATTTATTGCATATTTCTCCTTTCTTGAAGCTCGTGAAATATTTTCGTTCTGCTTGTTTGGTGAGGCTCGAAGTTGTAGCGCTCTTTTGGTGAGTTATGTTTCTGCCACTTATTTCATCGTTTCGTTGTTATTGATAACGCCTTATCACCCATATTAGTTTTTTAGTATCGATAGCAAAGCATGTTTACTTGTAACTCGCACTGAAGCTTACTATAAGATTGGGTGCAATGGTGATCAGCATGTCATTTTGGGTTTGTACAAGGATAAGAATCGTTGTTGGTATTTTTGGACAATTCTTTGACAGCGCCTATGCTAAACAGCATGACCATTGTCTAATCACCAGCGTTTCCATATGCCACACAGCTAGATGAAATCTGTCAAAAACAACGGTTACCACTGCAACAGGATAAAGAATTCATTGTGTCAGAAGACAGATACTTATGCATCTCGAATATTTAAACCTAATAAGTGAGAAAATATTGCGGTTGAGATGGAGATTGCTAGATCCGAACGCTCTCTGAGAACATGAAGGATACGCTAAAATCAATGAACTCGAGTGGCTGCGATGGCGGGAGTGTGGGCCACGTCCCAATTGATTGCAGTGGCGTACCTCGTGCGCCGTGACCTACGGGGTAGTAGTCTTATTAGGTTGGCACTCACTGCAGCTAATTTTGTAAATTTTTTCTTTTTGACTGTGACGCATTCATTGGCATTATGTAGATTAGGTGGCTAAAAACCTGCGCAAACGGTTTGACTTTTGTCGAAATGGAGGAAATTTGCTTATTTTTTGGAAGCTGATCAAATCCGAAATTTCAAGGGTCGGAAAACCAAAAATAAAGCCGTTCTTCTAAATCAAACATAATGAGCCGAAACTATATCCAGATTATTGATAGAGGAAACTCTAATTATCTACGCAGTTCGGTTTTTTGCAATTAATTTAGACTGAGAACGGCTTTATTCTTAGTTTTTTGACCCTTGAAATATCGGATTTGACCAACTTCCGAAAAATGAGTTAAAGTTTTCCATTTTGCTGCCAAAAATTAAACCATTGGCGCAAGTAGTTTGTACCCTACTATCTAATCTACATTATGCCCAAAAATGAACGCGTCATAATCAGAAAGAGAAAAGCTGCGAAGTAAGTTGCAAAACTTATGTGCCAACTTATTATTTTAATGACTAAACTTATTTAAGGATGAGAATGTACAGATTACCCCCTTGAGAAAATTCTACAAGTACAACTCAGTATAATAGAAGCGTTTTTACCTTGACTCTCCATATCTCCAATCCTGGTCGTTTGCCAACAGAATTAAGATCAAATGTTTGTGCCATAGCTTGTTGGATGCCGCAACTTGACTCAAAAGAATGAGGAAAGATCCAGTCGTAACAGAGTTGGAGCAAAATATGGCTATGTACAGAGATGTGAGCGAAGAGAAGAACAATTGAGCAAGTAAAATTGACATCATTGTAATTTGATTATAGCCTTTCATTCTTTAGGTCCTGATTGAAGAGCTTCCTAGCATTTGCGAGCTTTAAGAATATTCTATTGCGTTTGCAAGCTTTTCAGCCCCAAATTTTCATCTTTTTGTCGGTTAAATACTTCAAATTATTCCGTTTCTGCTTGGAAAGACAGACATATCCTCTTCAAATTTGATTATGGGATGTTCCAGCGGTATCATAAAATTCAAACGGTCATGGAAAAGGAACTTTTAGGCCTGAACATCCTTCTTGCTTACACAATCAATAATTTACTAAAATAAAAACTCATGATCTCATATTCCTTTGGCTTAGTTATTTCTAACTCTTGTCCAGTATAAGTATATGTATAAGTCGCCGCCAATTACTAATGGCAATGTTGTTGTTGTATTTTGAAGGATTTAGAATATATAGTATCAAATATAAGTAAACTTGCATCAATCACAAGCCAATCAATCCTTGTTTCTGTATCCTACTACATTTCACTATCAGTTCAAATTCAAAATCGAAAAGTCACTAATGTTGCTTGAGACACTTTCAAGCTTGTCCTTACAAAAAGGTCGCGCTAAGCCAGCTGAGATGTATTAGATCGGTCTGAAAGTTCACGCTGTTTTTCAGACCCATGTCCAAGCCACTTAGAATAAAGATAGACAAACGTGTACGCACTATCCGATGCAATTCCTTCCTCTTTATAATGGTTATGTTCTTGTTCAGATTCCCTCAATGTAGGCTCAATAATCGGCAGAGATCTCCAACCATGATTTTTACCCATCTTCAGCTTGGCTATTTTTTAAAATCTCCATTTTCAACTTTTGGACAAGCTTCGATGACAGTTGGATAAAACAAAATGGAATACAATATATTTTTCTGGCTTCTCAAAATTTTCAAAATATTTTTCTGATGCTATCGAATTCCATCTTTGGGCATCTCAATCCTTACAGAACAGTAAACGACTAGCAACAGTGTCATTCGATCAGCTTTTTCTCCTCTTTCTGAAAGACTTGCTTTCTTCTTGATTCGTGTGATATCGGAGGATAAAATCATTGTAATTTTTGTTTTCAGTAGCGTCCCAGGCTGTACCCAAAAAGTTCGGAATTCAGTATTTCAAACCGCTAAACGCAGTTGCTTGCTAAAATAGGTGCTAATTCACAATCTGTTTTTGGAAGCTTCTAATTTCGGAGATTTGTCAGTGTTTAAAGCGATTGTGTGTTTCGCAACTTCGCAAAAGTAAGGGTTTTTGTTACTTTAAGAAATACTGAAGAGTTAGTTGATAAAGCAACAGTTCATTGTATTGCATTTTGTTCATTCTACCCAACTGTTATCAAAGCTAGTCTAAAAGTTAAGAATGGAAATTTTGGGATATAGCCAAATTGAAGATGGGCGAAAATCGTGGGTTGGAGATCCCTGCAGATTACTGAGAGGACATTGAGGGAATCTGAACAAGAATACAACCATTAGAAAGAGAAAGAAATTCTACATCGGATAGTCCTTGCAGAGCAAGCACTACAAAATGAAGTTGAAACCTTCGCGCCAGGTTTGATTTGCGTGAAATTTGGAGCCAAATTTCATAAGGCACTAGAGATCTAAAAAACGAAAAAAAAATCTTATCTCCGTTCAGAAAAGTCCTGGGAACCCCTAACTTGCTCACGCATGAACTCACTATACGCGACATTCGTATGCACATTTTCTCGGTTTTTCCATGCTGAAAATCAAAAAAACGAAATTTGGCATTTTTTTGCCGAAGCAATCCTGAGCTTCTCTCAAATGGGCATTCTGTAGTATGGACCTTTAAGAGATAACCATGAATTTCCAGCTTTAGACAAGCGGTAGTTTTCAAGAAAAATCAACTTGTTTGCAAAAAACCCGAAAAACGCGACATATTCGCACTTTTGACCTATTTTTGTTTGTCATACCGTAGCCGTGGAAAAATACCAAAATATACAGGTGAATGTCTGGTGTGGAGAGTACATGCCTATGCAAATTGGAGATCCCTAAGACGTCTATGAACGGAGATACGATTTTTCGGTTATTTGAAATTTTTTATATTTGGATTCGAACTTCAGTGGAGCAAGATTTCCGCGAATTGTAAACTTCCTTGTAGGGCTTGCTTTGCTCTATCAAATGATACCCCACTCGCTTTTTTTTGTGGTCACCCTGTCGTGGTAGGTTGCCATGCGACATTATTTTCTGGTATATCTTACTTCCAGTGGCGTACCGAGGGGCGGGGGGGGGCCCGAGAACGGGTCGCGAAATTTTGTGAAGGTTACTTACATGGGTTATAGAATTGTGCAAATGACTTGCCTGCACTTGTGAACAATTAAAATAATTTTCAAATTTTTTGAAAAGTTTATTTCTAAAAAGTTTTTTCTGGGGGCGTGGCTGATGCCACGCCCCGTTTTTTTGCAATTCCGGGGTTCTGAGCCCTCGAAAATTTTAGAGGGCATACCAAAAAAATTTTTCGGGGTGCTGACTGACGCCACGCACCTCCATCGGAAAATTTTTTTGTCGCGTCCCACCCCCCCCCCCCCCGGGCCCAAATCCTGGGTAAGCCATTGCTTACTTCATTATGAGTTCAGTTGCCAAACTGCGAATATGAAGCAAAGGCTATTCTCCGAAAGCAGAACGTACGCTAGGTAAACACCGCTATGGTCTGAAGAGGGTCACGTCTCGGTATTAAATGGTAACCTAAGCGTTAGGCCCCGGACAGACTTCAAGCGATTTAATCGTCGCAACTGAATCGCGACGAGACAACTGTTACAACATCATTCCATGCCGATCAACTTGCATTTTGGTTGTGATACTTTTCCAGCCCGAAATTTTTGAAAGTGAAATGAAAATGAATGGGAATGTCGGCGATTGAGTCGCGACGATCAAATCGCGTGAAGTCTGTCCGTGGCCTTAGATTTCTCAAAAGAAAACAAAGCAAGGCCTTGTAAATCAAATGGAAGTATGGGATACTTTCAATCGCACAAGCGACAACAAATGGTGATGCAGCAATCTCAAGAATTTTGAGGAACTGCATTACTGACTTGAGTTAAGAAAAAGTCTATGAGCATAAAGATAGAACTGGTAGTTTTTTAGCATTGCTACGTACGGTTCCACTGAAAAGGACGCGTTCGGGCTGATGTTGAATAAACAAACGCTCTGATGGTGTTCGATGCAGAAATTCTTCTTTGTCTTAGCAGTAATGTTTCTGCTGCAAATCCCTCAATGGCGCTCGAAATCGCTCGGAGTCTTCAACCCAAGCTTTCTACCTACCCTGATTTCAGCTATTTTAAGATTTTCATTTCTTAAAAGAGCTTCGATTACGATGCAAACAGAGTAAACAATGTGCAACACAATGCATTTTTTAGCATTTTGCTGGCTTTTCAAAATTATTACAGGCACCGTCCACCCAAATTCTCGACTACCATTTTGTCGCTTCCAGGCCCTCTAGGAGGTCCTGATTCAGGGCCCGGCACGCGTTGTTTTGGAGCATTTTTGGAAACGAAGTCCCTCATGGCTTCGCGAAAATTTGCGAAGTCCCTCTTGACGTAAAAATCAGTAAGGAAACCCTTATTCAACCAAAATAACAATAAAAAGCGAAAAAAGCGGTATGAGGTATGAGGTATGTGATAAAACAAAAAAAAAGCAAAAGAAAACATTTCGAGTTGATTAAAGGCTCTGTCATTGAGTAGGGTACCATTTTAGTGCTCAGAATGTCGAAAACCTCCTAGGCAACCAAATGTGTGGCCTCCACAATCTGGCGATGCATTTTTCGCCACATAGTCCAAAGGACACCGCGTGTGATTGGAGCGCAATATCTGCCTACGCATAGATTTGCACTACTTTTGCCTCAAAAAAGAGGAGAGGCAATAGATTCGCTGTCTTCACTATATGATAAATTTTGACCGTTCTAATCGTCCAAATCAAAAAGAGCCAAAACTTATGTGAACTCTCCGATATTTATGCTCCGAACCAACCCAGTTGGTTTGGTGTTGGTCTAGAAACCAACAAATCCGAGAACGGATATTAGAACACATATTGGGAACTTTTTACATAACATAGTTTGGAGTAATATTGTATACACATAGCCCAAATTCGGAGCCATGTGATTGTTTGTGCGATAAACAAGCCATTTGTTTGTTTGAGTCTTGCTCTTGAAATTCGGGCGCTTGCGAAAGAACACGTTCAACTTTTATAACCTGAAATGTTCGTCGTTCTTCTATCGGCGCTTCCTCCAAGATCTTATAAAAACGATATCCCCGTTGCTTCTAACTTCAAAAACGAAGTCCAGTTTGACTCCAGACCATCTGTGCCGGGCCCTGTCCTGATTCCGAATATGTAGTCGAGAATCCGCGAAAAACCCAAAAACCCCCGTCTTGAAGAACGGTGCAATGCAAGTCGAGGTGCTGCGGCGCTGATGTTTGCCTGTTGCGCCATATGCAAACCTCAAAGTGGGTGGGGCGACCAGCTGGGCAGAGTGACCAGCACCGGTTTACTTCCCTTCCGGAGAGGATTTTTCGCTCCGAAAGCAATCTTTTGCTGCGCAACTTGGGGGTTTGAATAGTTTGGGGCCCACGCTAGTATGCGATTAATCTTGTCAACCCGTTCTGGGTTCCCGTGCCTTTGGGATTATTTTTTCGATGCTACCGAATTTCATAATTAGGCATCGCAAATATCACAGAGGAGCAAACGGTGAGCATCCAAGGTGTCACTCGATGCAGCTTTTTCTCTCTCCGCGATAAATGTTTTGTCTTTGAGATTTCCGAAGTCTGCAAGAAATCATTATATTAGGTCATTCCGAAAATAATTTCGCTTTTTTGAACGGACGCCACATTCGATGGAACAAACATTTCTAATAGGTCTTGGTAGCATTCGATGAAGTATTTCATCCTCTTTCTAACACTAATGAAATGGTTGCAGCTCAGTC